ATGAAAAACGGTCCAGCCACTGTGGAGCAATTGTATCCTGAGCGGGTCCTGACATGTCACTCCAGTTCTTTCGCGACAGTCACGATTCATTCCCACTTCGAAACGAGGTCTACAATATTGCATATTCCATACTGATTGGTATTAAGAGTGTACCTAGACTAAGGCGGTCTTCAAAGCCGCGTCACATCTAGTGGTTGAGTATTAATAATTTGCTTGTTCATGTTCCTGACATGCTGCTGATAGAAACGCCATGAAGATGACAAGGCAATGAGAGTTGTGCGTCAAGACGGAAACATCCATCCGAGAAGGCAAAAAACAAGGCCGAACGCTATGCAAAACTTTAATGAAACAGAAAATCATTTCGACACGAGAAAACATGAGGGAAAATTGCAGGCTTTGCGAGGCTTAGTTGAGCCAGTTCTGCCATTGGCAACGACAACCACCAGTGCCACCGTCAATGAGCCCGCTGACTATCCCTTGCCCCTGGGTGCCCTTGACCAGAGTGCCCCCGAATGCCCGATCTTCAAACTGGAATGACTTTTTGGACACTTCGTTCTTGATCGTGCCGTCATCCTCCATTTCATAGCAGTAGAGGTTTTTCTTAGCAGGATCTCCACCGTGGCGATCGATGGTGACAGTGACTGGATACGGGAAGGTGCCTGGTCTCTTAAATGCATCTGTACCCCCAGAAGCAGACTTTTGTAACAATGGCTTGCTTTCTTTGCTGCGAGTCCATATCTGTACCAGGAACCGCGTCTGTGAGTATGTGCATCTCAGCTTAGCAGCATCCTTAGAGCTCCCTCCATCCGTGTCTGCCGGATTCCCACCACGGTTGGTGCCGTTGATCTGCTTCAGGAAGATCGATCGATCAAAGTAGTTGTAGAATCCGTAATGTTCGTCTTCTTTGCCTCGATTGTACAGTCGAAGGGGCTGTGCAGAAGGCGAGGGAAGCAGGTTTGCAGGCGCTGCAGTCCCGTCAGAAGCCAACATTGGCGGAGGTATCACAGCAGTGATGTTTGTAAGGTCGTCTCCATTGGCACGCTTCGCCAGGTCCGATGCATTAGTCGACGGGTCGCTCATGGTGATGAACAAACCAGTCTCTTCGCCTTCAAAAGGAGCCGAGTTACCATCTGTCGTTTTCCCCAAGAAGTTCATATCGTCAGTTGATGGAGGTGCAGGGGATGGCGAGGGTGCAGCGCGAGCGCGAAGCAGTGACCGGACCAAAGCGCCGGCTGACACTGGGTTTGAGGCTCTTTTGGCACGTCGAGACTGCGGCAACTCTGCGGCACTGCCGTTCTCAAACGTGATTTCAATCTTAAAGTTGGGCTGGTCCGGTTTGTTTGGCGCAATAGATTGCTGGAGTTCTTTTGGTAGCGCACAGCTCCACAGTGTGGTGGGCGCGACACAACCACTCTCCTCCTCTACCACTTCAGGTTGCGCAATAGTGAGCAGGCCGGTAGGTACAGGAGGGTAGTCTGGCAGGTTAAGCCATTGGTTGCCTCCGTCGGGCTTCGGCTCGGTCGCGGTGGGCTTATTATCATTGCCTTTCCTCGTCAATACCACGGCAACTGGGATAATGATTGCCAACAAGATGAAGAATATCAAACAACAGCAGCATCCCCAGAAACACACTCCTCTCTTCTTTTTCTTCTCTTGACCTCCGTTTTGAGGATTTTGGCTTCGCTTCTTTCCGAATGGCCATATGCTTGTCATATCACACACTTTTCGATGTTTCTTCCGTCCCTTAAGGTCTGGAGAAGATGCCCGGGAACCGGAACGACTGCCGTTGTCATAGCTCCAGTGTGAGCCTTTTTGAGCTGCCTTTGGAGGTGGGGCGAACACTGGCAGGCTTTGTGAGGAACTGTTGGCGTTTGTGGCAGAAGAGTTTGTGATCATGACTTGTGGCGCTGCTACTGACGTGTGCATTTGCTGTACAGGAGGTGGATAGTTTGCTCTGACTGGCTGGCTCTCCACCGGCGGCCGCCTATCTTGCAACTCAATGTTGACATTAATGTGGCGTGGCTCCTCAACCTGACGAGGCATCAAAACAGTTCCGATGGCCGCTGTGCCCAGCACCGGTGAGGCAGACATTGCAGATAGAGGGGAGGTGACGGCGCGGTGAGAATCTGGAGGTGTTTGATAGCTCATTGCCTTTTCAGGATCAGAATTCACTGGGACATTGGCTACTGAAGCTGCCGACGTGTTAGTTTGCGAGGGGGGTGGCATAGAGGCTTCTGCTTTGCCCATGCCATACTGGATGGGTACAGTTGGGACATCTGGCGTACTGTTCCCATTGCGTCCAGCATCTGGCCATGTTGACGATTTAGGCGTTGCAACAAATGGTGTTGTGATGACGGTCCACCACCCTTGCGACCTTCGAAGAGTAGGCACCATTGATGTGTCAATGGCCAACGAGTTTTCGGCAGCCCTGGCGCTTAGTGGCGTTTCGTCCTCCTCAAAGACGGTGCTGGTGGACATGACGCGATCTTTTCGTTTGGAATCGTCATCCTCTTCGAACGCAGTTCCAGCGGAATCCAGTGTGTCATTTCTAGCGTGGCTAGGTGAGCCGCGCATGTCATTGTTGGAAACTTCTCCTGGACGTTGAGCCATTCCAGCAGGTAGAGCGGGAACTGGTGGGACGTTGGACCTGTCGAAAGCTGTTTGATAACGAGAATAGATATTGGGTGTATAGTCTGACTCTGTAAAGGGTGTGTCGGGTGACCAAGCCGACTTCACTTCCGCAGGGGTAATGATGATACTTGGTGTTACTAGAGTAGTGTCGCTCCCAGCACGAGGCCGATGCGCTTGTAGGGAGCTAAAGTCGGATATACTATCGGTAGGAACTGAGATTCCTATCGGAATACGTCTGTCCCAAGGTGAAATTTCCTGCCAGGACTTAGTGCTAGGAGTCATGGACGTAGCAGTATCGATTTCGTTCCGATCTACGCTCTGCCTCTTTCGATGCATGTGTTCTGGTTGCGGTGTACCCTTGGTGATTCCCAGGCCTTTGTGTCTGGTTGAATTCCTGCTCAGGCCAAACCACGGTGACCTGCGGACAGAGCCGCTGCCTCTCTCTGATTCTTGTGGAAACACCTGGTGCGGTTCCGAACCCCTATGCCTGGTGAAACTTGTATCGACAGTGATGCCCGGCTTGCTCGGTCGACCCAGTAGGTCTCTCCGTCGAGATTTCTGTCGTGAAGCACGCCCTGAAAAGGACCGTGAGCTGCGCTTTGTGATCGTCCGCTGTGCTCTAGCATTAGACTCAACGTCCCAGGTCTGTTGCTCAGGTGTTGCGTTTCCATCGAATCCATCATGGAAATGTACTAATATCTGTTCTTCTCCATCGGCTCGGTTTAGGTGTGAGTCGTCTGCGTATTGTTCGCTTTCAAACGGGCGCCTAGCATTATCGGTTGATCGAGGTAGGGGTCTTAGTGGCGGCTGGCCATATGAAGTCATGTTGGGGTTGTGCGTCGATATCTTAAATTGATGTGGAAAGCCAAATCTCAAAGAGATAGTAGGTGTGAATGGTTGTCAATGAATGCTTTTTCAAACGGGAACTGGGAGGATTAATAGCGTTGGTATTGTCGCTGCTATTGTCTGGCGACTGCGACTGCAGAACAACGAAAAAGAATGAAATCACACAAAGCGGTGACGGGTGATGAAAAGAAAGCGGCAAAGAGGCAACGGAGAAAGTGAAAGCACGCAGAAAAAGGAGATGTGTGAGGCTGTCATACAGACACGCGACCCTAGATCTTTTGGCCGACTTTAACGGACCTGGCAAACCACTGCCATGGCTTAATATGTATAGCTCTTCTGCTTGGATGTCCCTTCTGGCCTATGATGTGGCAGAAGCGCCCGCCACGTCTCCTCGAGTCAAAGCTCGTCGGTGGGAGTAGACATTGTCCACAGGCACAGGGTGAAGGTGATTGGAGCCGTCAGGTGGAGCTGCCTCATAACGAGCGCCATGTTTGCGGGCTTGAGGCTCCGTAGCCGCCCTGGATTCGCTGGGGTGGAAATGTACAACTCTATGCGAGATCTGAGACGCTCCAGATGTGTAGCTTCGACGTCGTGTCCAGCAAAATATGGAGAAGAGCCAGTCAGACGACAGGACATGGCAATGGAAGCGCCAGGCCAGCCATGACAGCGTCCAACGGTTGGTGAGGAAGGCGCCGCCAAGACACGCTAGTTTACAGTCCTGTCCGGGGCCTGTCTGTATGCGCCCGGCCGGGAAGGTTTTTGGTGCGCAAGGTTTGCTCGCTACAAAGTCTTATGGAGCCTACCGTGCTTTTTTCTCAACAGCATGCTCATAGCAGTATACGCAAACGGCGATGTTGCGTGCTTGATCCGGATCGGATGCCCGCTCGCTGGGTTATGCCTGGCAGGACTTGGTGAAGCCACCTGTTCACGAGCCGCTTACATACCTAGTATAGTGTACATATGAATGTCTTCCTATCGGACGGACATACCAGTTCGTCCCTGTGGCGCACCATGCCCATGCACCCACGAGGCAAGTACGCGGTAAATATTCCGAGTCACGTGCTGGCATCGACAAGGCGTCTGGCATTCGGAATGCCCTGTCAAAGTGCAGACAGCAGTTCTGCGACGCGCTATGAGCCTGTGAGAAACCTAAAGTTCACTCCCTGGGACCGAAAAAAAACGTCCTGCGGCTCATGACGGCCCATGTTGCAATGCCCGTATGCTGATTGACCGTCCCCTGCAATCATCCAAATCTGTATGTACCGACATACTAACGTATAGTTATCGCTGTGCTGCACCAAAGGGTACCACTGGGCTACCAGGTCCCCTGCTTCTTTTCTTCACCCTCTGCACACCGCTGCGCAGCCCATCGGTTTCTCGTCCATCCCTCGAGTGTCGCTGTGGGACAGCGTAGAGCGGTAGACAGCAACCTGCGCAATGCGAAGTGGGGAGGTCTAGCCTAATTAGCGGCCCTCCTTTCACGTATACGCCAAGCAGCGAACTCGACAGCAATTTGGTTATCGCGAGAATCTCCTTTCCCACCGTCGCACAATCTTCTCCCTTGGAGTAAGATATCTCCCGTCCCTCCTTTTGTTAATTGCGACCGACGACAACCTACATTGGACAATTCGTCGCACTACCGCTTTACTTCCGCCTTTTGACCACACCCGCCAGCTGTCCTATAATACCAAAAGACCCACCCCCGAACACCACCTGTGATCCTCCCTCACCGGCTCACCCTCACAGCCAGCCGCGCAAGTGCGCCTTTGCATAATCCACCCAGCCTACAGACGCCGACAACGTCACGCTGGCTTCCCAATCCTCCTTCTCCACTTCCTCTGGCCAACGGAGAAGGCGCTCATCTGCTGCAAGGCAGGCGCCATCCAACATCACCCTCCCCGATATCATCGAATCGCGAAGTAGGCTCGGTACAACTAGTGGTCTCTCGGGCCGCTCCCTGGGTGAAGGCCTGCCCACCATACCCAGTACCCCAGGCATCGCGGACATGTCTAGGTCCTCCTCGCCCCAGCCCGGAGGGTGGTCGAGTCCAGGCTTGAACACGCCTTACGATAACAGTGGGCAGAGCAGTCCATACCCCAATGGCACCTCTTCACACAATGTCACTTGGGCATCGGCTCAGGCCCGGAGTGCCGAGGTCAAAGGCTACCCTGCTTTCACTACTAGAGGCCAAGGTTTCTTTGGCAAGCACTTTCGCAAAATATCTACGAGCCTGCCCTTCAACCATGGCGACAAGGAAAAGCTTGGGCGAGGACGGTCTCAGGGTAACAAGGTCACGCGGGCTCTCAATGGCATAGTTTGGAATTTGTGGCGCCTGCGGAAACGAGTCATGGTCTTGTTTTTGGTTACGTTTCTTCTTTTCTTTTGGAATTTTAACACACGTAAGTCTAAGCCTTTGATCCTTTATTCGGTCCATTGGTACTAACGCCCGTAGCCATACGTCGAGCATACAGACGCTCAGCATGGTTCGGTGGCGGCAGCAAATATGTCGTCATCTTGGCTGCGAATCAAGGTGGAGGTGTCATGGAATGGAAGGGTCCCCGTGAATGGGCCATTGAGCGTGACAGCGTTAAGAACAAGAAAAAATATACCAGGAACTGGGGCTATGAATTGGAGATTGTTGATATGAGCACGAAGAAGCGCTACGCGCACGAGTGGAGGGAGAGCTGGGAGAAGGTGGACACGATCCGCAATGCCATGCGCAAGTACCCACATGCTGAATGGTAAGTATGTTGCAACCAACGCTGTAACCAACGCTCACACAGCACAGGTTCTGGTGGCTGGACACAAACACATTCATCATGGAACCAACCTACTCCCTGCAGAAGCACGTTTTCAAGCAGCTGCAAGACGTCACGTACCGCGATATCAACGTTTACAACCCTCTCAACATTACACATCCTTTGACAGATGAATACCTCGATCCCGAAACACGCTCGCCGGTGGGAGATGGCAGAGCCGATTCTGTGAATATGCTGGTGCCTCAAGATTGCGGTGGTTTCAATTTGGGCTCGTTCATGGTGCGGAGAAGCGTCTGGACGGACAGGTTGCTCGATATCTGGTGGGATCCTGTTGGATACGAGCAGAAGCACATGCAATGGGAGCACAAGGAACAAGATGCATTCGAGCACATGTACCAAAACCAACCTTGGATCCGCCCTCACGTTGCGTTCATCCAACAGCGTCAAATCATGAGCTTCCCGCCAGGTGCCTGCGGTGATCAGGGCGACAACCCCGACATTCATTACCAAGAGAAGGACCGCGACTTCCTAGTCAACATGGCTGGCTGTGAATGGGGTCGCGACTGTTGGGCCGAAATGTACAAATACCGTGAGCTTAGCAACCACCTCAACAGGACGCCATGGGAGAAGTTCAAGGACGGCCTCTCTGGCTTCTTCAAGAGCAAGTCCAAGAAGGATGGGAAGAAGGATGGAAAGAAAGAAGAGAAGAAGAACTAGATGGCAATCAATGATGTATCCGAGGCGGTATCGAGTGTATTTCTCACATTTCTCGCATTTTGATGGAAGCCAGGATTCGGCTTATGGGTTTACAATAATACTGATGCGCGGACGGCAATGCACAGCCCTGGGAGCTGCATACTCTCAGCATACATAATGCCGGAGTTGGCGTCATGCACCTATACCCCTACAAGGCTGACTATTTGGGAATTAGGTGGGCAGCCAGACGGAATGTGGCGTTGTCATTTCTACAAATGTTATTTCTTGGGTCCAAACGTTGCCTCGAATTCAAGTCATTGTCGTCCTTTGACCAGCTTCTCCGCATGGAAGCCCCCGCCATACCCAGGGCTTGTTGGGGTGACGGTATTAGCCGTCGAGGTTACCTAGGTACCCTAGTCCTCTGCAGCATGTCTGCTTGTTTGGAAACCCTGCAAGATAGAAGCAAGTTGTCGACATCGAGTCCACACGTTGCATATCTCGTGACTTTTGCAGCATGATGACGTGATTGATGGCGTCTGACGAGCAAGCCTGGAGAAGGCACTTCGATGCGATGATATGGAAAGTTACTGAGTCGTTCGCAGAGCAAAGGACTACAGGCTTGCACGGCTGTCTCAAAAGACGTCAGTCCAGTGGCAGGCGGCCTCAAGATGTACATGCACATGTCCCGTATGCAGGCAGGTGAGCATGCACAGATCCCACGACTCCAAAGGGGTAGGTTGATGAGCGGCGCCTGATTCGTCCATCTCCCACATCCCATTGCCAATGGTCATACGCCAGCACACGGGACACGGGGCCAGGGACGAGCAGCCGACTGCATTCTCCGACTTCCATCTCTACTTTCCTCTCCTCAGGTTGAAGCCCTATTGAGCCCACGTCCAACCTTCGTTTTGGTTGCGTTTCTTTTAGGCCCAGCCCAACGCGACAACCACAACCCACGTTCCCCCTTTTAGGCCGTGCGCAAGCTGGGGAAACAGTACAGGTAGCGTCAGCGCGCTCGTAACTCCACGCTTATCTCCTGCTGCTGTTGTAGTGATTTGACGGCACTGCCCTGAGACCTCTGGAGCCTCAGTTTGTGTAGCTCCATACCATAGTCTGTTGTTTCGCAGTCGCCCTTGCCTACCGTCGTCCTAGGTCTACTGCGCCTCGATACCCCAAGTCCGAACAAAGAACCGAAGTCGGCACGGCCCTTGGGGCCCACTGGAGCGCATATCTCCCCACCTGTAGAGATAGGGTCCAAGCTTATAAAGACGTATCCGGACACCGGTTACTACTCGAATCCTTGAAGCTCAAAGAGTGCCATGCACGACCATCGGCCGCAGCGACCAGGCCGTCAGTTTGCAAGTGTTGAAGAGGCGCATCGTCAAGACCAAACTATGGCCTCTTCACGACCAGTTGCGTCGCTATCCAGGCCCTCAGATGGTACGTTCATCTCTACACTTGCCTGTGTTCTTGACGCCTTCTCTGCCCTGCCCCTTCCATATCATTGTATCCAAGCATGAGCTTATATCAAGTGTACAGAGTCATGGATCGATATCGCATCGGGGCCTTCGTCGACCTCTTTATGTTCTGTCACTGACGAGATCATCACGACTGGTCTCACGGTACAGCACGACTCAACACTACACAGGCGGCAGAACAGGCGCTCACGAGGCGGCGGCCAGTTCTCCATAGGAACCGGACACAGGGTTACAGCGGCAGGGGGAAATAGCAGCCAGGAAGAGTATGAAGAGAGCGAGAGCGAGTCGGACCGCGTCATGACGTCTTCAAATGAGGCCCTTGGTCTATCCCCACTGAGACACGACCCTTCGTCCCGAAGCCCACTGTCGGTGGCATCTTCAGAAACCCTGTCGGACAGAGAAGACGACGACGAGAACGCAACTGCCGTCAACTATCCACGTTCTACACGACGCGAGTTTCAGCCGCGACCAAACGCCTTCTCACGTCCGAACGCACAACAAGCCATCCGATCACACTCTGGCACATTGTACACGCCTCGTAGATCTGTGAGGCCAACTGGGCAGCGTCAGCAGTCTTATCCTCAGCACACTCCCTTCAACGCCGTAGCTCCCAACTATCAACCCGACCACGATGAAGCTCTACGCGCTAGCCTGTCGACTTTGTTGTCTGCAGCAGCAGCAGTGCGAGGGCTACCCAAGCCGGGGCAACCACGTACAGCCCCGCCCTCGTCCACTCGAGTCGATCCGACGTCGCTCCGCATGGTGCCCGAGTCTGTAGCTTTGGGCAACATATCCGAGGAGTCTACCTCATCCCCACGCAGTACCAGCAGCAGCCCCTCCGAGAAGCCTAAGCGAAAAGCAAATCCGCCTATGGCAGCCGCACGAAGTGGCAGCAAGGACCGCCGCGTAGTCAGAAAGGTGCGCAAATCCGGCCCGCTTATCGAGGAGATTAGCCCAACACTGCTCACTTGGGTTGTCAGTGCTGGCGTTGTAGTCCTTGTAAGCGCTATCGGCTTCTCGGCAGGCTATGTCGCTGGCAAAGAAGCAGGTCACGCAGAGGCTATTGGCCAGGTTGGTGCTGCGGGTGTAGACGCTGGACGTTGTGGCAAGGAGGCCGTATCTGGCATGAAGGGCACCGGCTTGGGTTTGAGGAAGCTGAGATGGGGTTCTGGCACAGGCATTCGTGTCTAAGTGCTTGACGATATTCATGAAACGATTGCATGGCATGCAGCACGCACAAACATGGGTGGGTTAAGGATGGCGTTATTCTATATTTTTATTTTCGCTTTATACAGTTTGTAATATCGATATCACGTGGCATGGCGCTAGATGGGCGTTTGGCTTGATTTGCACCATGGTAGAGACAATCCTGTAGCTCAAGACTTGGGTTGCGTTGATAGCTCCAATACCATTTTACTTTCTGGATATCCCGACTGCTGCTTTTTTGTTTTCATTATCCTGAAAGATGGTACAAGTAGTATGAGAATTCCCAAGTCACCCTCCAAAATACATCTTGTCAATATCGACTCCCAAAACAAGCCCAAATGTCCCCAGCATCAAGGACCCAACCAGCCCCATCACCAGACTAACTTCCCACCCCGCAGCTATAGCCTTGCCCCTCACCAGCGCATTCTGCAATCTCCAGAACCGTATCGCTCCAATCAGCACAACCACGATACCCATGCAGATGAATGCTGCCGACAGCGGCTTCCCTATCTTGTAGAAGCCAAAATGAGGATGCGGATGGGGACTATGCTGCAGCCGGAAAAGCTGGGCGATAACCACACCCGTTACTACGAGGAGGAGTGAGGTATGCAGGTAGCCGAGGAAAGTGCGCTCGAGTGCTTCGGGGGGGTTTTTGTTAGTCTGTATGTTTGAAGCAGGGTTTTTGATGACATGAAGAAGAAGAAGAAGAAGAAGAAGAAGACGTACCCAGGTGGTCTCTCAGCGATCCCTCTTCTATGCTAAGACTTATCTGTGTACCCCAGAACTTGGTGACTGGGTCGTAGAATCGGGTCCTACACGGTGTTGTTGCATTGTGATCTCCCGTCTCTCGAGGAACATCTGCTTGCGTACTGGCATGCCTGCTCAACTCATCTCTCGGTTCATTCTCTGCATTCGCTTCACTTGGTGTTGCGACTCTCTTGCGCCTCACGGGTTCTAGCTCTTTTGCAACGCGCTGCCGTTCATGGCGTACCGCGGCTTCAGAGTCTGGGTGCTGTTCGTCCTGTGCACGACTGTGAATATGTAGGGCTGCTGAGGGGAGGTTAAGAGGCGGTATGGATGGGGCACGAGATGGTGGAGGGTCACTCATGAATCAGGTCTGCGAAGTAAGTTCTGTAGTAACAAAGACAATATCAATAGCTAGGAACTGTTATCAGTCATGATCAATGGGTGCAGAGTCAGTGCGCTATATCTGACCTTACTTTCCGCCGATAAGACCGGTGGAGCATGGTGGTGCGCGTGAGGTCGGTCTCCGAATGCGTCACAGGAAGCTTAGGTGTAGGGATGTGCTCGGATCATCGCATCGGACCATCGCATTTCCTTGATTCCAAAACCCTCCCCCCAAACTACAGTCGCTTTTACCAATGCTGTTCTGTTTTTACATTTCGACCTCGCCATACACCATAGAGGCACCATTGCACAAAACAGATGACCTTATTGATTGCTACAGCAGCCTTTCTATATGAGCCCGGCAAAATACCTTCTGATCACTCTACTTTGACATGAACTTGCTGGCCATGTTCAACACACCACCAAGAGCACTGCCAGAGCCGCCACCACTGCCTCCACCACTGCCGCCACCCATCTGTGACTTCATGTAGAACTGGAGTGCCAGCTTTCCTGCCTGGACGATGGCGTCCTGCTTGGTAGCGCTAGGGTCCTACTTTTGTCAGTAGGTGTTTCAATGATTGGGTCAGTCAGCACCTACCGTGTTGCCCTGGCTCTGCTGCTTATCAAACAGCTGGGCAGCCTGGCCCATGGCCATGCCGATGAACTTGTTCTGACCACCCTTGGCGTCCTCATTGCTGCTGTTATTAAACATCTTCAATGCCTGCATAGCGGCAGCAGCGCCAACATTGTTCGAGCTGGCTTGCCCACCTCCGCTGCCACTGTTGCCATAGAGCTTCTCGTGCTGTTTGACCGCATCATCTTCGTCCACACTCTCATTCTGGTAACTGTTCTTGTTGCCAGCCAGCATACCAAGAGCACTGGTAAACAGACTAGAGTCACCGCCGCTACCGTATTCAGATGCAGCATGCTGAGCTGCGCCAGAGAAGTCGTCGGATGATCCACCATAAGCACCACCTCCGCCGTAGGACGTGCCAGTAGAGTGCTGGCCTCCGTGGTTACCTGATCCGCCATGTCCTCCTGAGCTGCCCCCGTAGCCACCTGACGGACGGTCGTTGTCATCGTCGCGTCCAGATTTACCCCCATAGCCACCTCCTGAGCTGCCTCCATAACCTCCCGATGGGCGATCGTTGTCGTCGTCACGTCTTGAGCCACCCCCATAGCCTCCTGATGGACGGTCATTATCATCATCGCGCCTGGTGCTACCTCCGTAGTTGCCTCCTGAGCTACCACCGTAACTGCCTGATGGGCGATCGTTGTCATCGTCACGTCTTGAGTTACCTCCGTAACTGCCTCCTGTGCTGCCCCCGTAGCCTCCGGATGGGCGATCATTATCATCGTTCCGCCCTGAGCTGCCCCCATAACCACCTGAGGTGCGATCGTTGGAGTTACGACGTCCTGAGCCGCCTCCATAACCGCCGGAAGTGCGGTCGTTGTCATCATCACGTGTTGAGCCGCCCCCATAGCCTCCTGATGGGCGGTCATTGTCATCATTGCGGCCTGAGCTACCTCCGTAACCACCTGACGGGCGGTCATTGTCGTTATCACGTCCTCCATAACCACCTGAGGTGCGATCGTTGGAGTTACGACGTCCTGAGCCGCCTCCATAGCCGCCGGAAGTACGGTCGTTGTCATTGTCGCGTCCCGAGCTGCCACCATAGCCGCCTGATTTGTTGTCATCCCCATAGCCGCTTCCGCCGCCCCCAGAGTATCCCTCCTGGGACCTGCCAGACTGCTGACCGTACTCGCTGCTATCGTTGTTGTAAGACATCGTCAGATTGTAGAGATCTGGCTCAACATCAGTAGAGCGTAGTGGGAGGGGTTGAGCGGGTAAGGCAGGGTCTAAGCACGCCATGTAAAGGAACAAGTTAAGCTTGCCAGCTCATCTGAGATGCTTGCAGCTTATTCTGAGTCCGTTTGGATCTACAGGGGCAGCCCAATTGCATGTGGGGTAGGTTTCAAGGCCATGGCAAGACAACGTGATAGTTGCATAGAGGAGGAGAAACAACTTACTGTGCAAAGGAATCGAATATTGATACTGGTTAAGGTTCAGTTGAGTTGTGGGAAAGGAGAAAAGGGAGTTGAGTTCATAAAAGCAGGAAACCAAGGTATCTAAATGGCAGCTGCGGCTGTAGCTCCCACGCGCTTGGTGCCCCTCCACAGACTCCCCGGTTCCCCTCGCCCCACTGCTAATGACGTATGCCTGCACCACCACGCTGCAGGATCATCACCCATGATTTGTGCCTCAACACGGCTGGAGAATTTCACGCCAGCCAATTGAGTCGTAAATGAGATAGCTTCTCGTCTTCAATGTCATACTTGGCATGGCCTGCGGGGTCCACGCCAGACGGCATAGAGCATTACAGATTGCGTGTTCAGATATCCACGGTCCCCACTCCGCGCTATATATACCAAAGTTTGTCACACTAACACATCGAAGTCATGCTAAACTTGTCCACCAAGGTAAAGTCCCTCTCAAAGTGGAACCTAGCAGTCCTCGTCACCCTGGTGCTCACGACTGGCATAACAATCTCACACGACTTATGCGCGTTATCACAACCAGTACAACCATATTCACACTACCCTCCTCCTCAACAGCACCCTCTAATCTCTATCCTGACTCCATCTATTAAATCCATAATTCAAAGAGTGGCAGCCGACGATCCATTTTTAACAATATCTGGGGACGCTAGGTATCACTGAAACATGACAAGCTCAGATTGAACTACATAAGTCTTCATGTTACCTAGCCACACATGCGATGGAGAACTTCCACCGGGCCAGAGGTAAAGATGATATCCCAACTCCTCCAAACTGCAAATGCAGTTGACCGTATGATGACAACGCTGTATACACTAGAACATAATTTTTATCCCACCCCTTTCCATGAGACATTCACCCCAATTAGAGCGAGCTTCGGCTAGATCTTACACCCCAGCACTCCTTTCCCCACATCGGATTCGAGCATTGAGCTATCCGTTTAGAGTGGCCTGCCACCAACGAAGTCACTCCACGACCTGACCTCGCTTGGGATACCCTCCTTCTTGGGTAGCTTCTCGCTCATACATTGAGCAAACAGGACAGCAGTCTGCAGCAAGTTAGCTTCCAAATTCATCAGTACAAAGCAGAAAGACTCACCTTGGGCTCCATAAACAGCGGCACACCAAAGTCGACGGCGTTCCTCCTCATGACGTAGTCCTCGTCGAACAGGCCGTTCGCCCTGTACTTGGCCAGGTTGAAGCAACCACGGATGTTGTTCTTCTCAAACACCTCACGCAGCTTCCTCTTGTCATCCTTGGGGAACTCGATGACATCGACGGTGATACCCTCTGTGTTCTTCTCCAGAAGCTCCTTCACTTCCTTGTTGGCAGCAAGGAACTTGTAGCCAAGCGCGTGCACGTACTTGGCAATTTGGATCAGAGAGTTGGAGTGTAGTGAGCCAGGAGTGACATCACCACCGAACAAGAGACCCTCACCAGGCTGGGGAAGGCGGAAGTTCATTTGCGATTGCGCAGATGCCCAGTAGGCCTCGACAAGGTCCTTACCAAAGCAAGCCATCTCACCAGTAGACGACATCTCTACGCCGAGGTAAGGGTCAGCACCAGCCAATCTGGTCCAGGAGAATTGAGGGACCTTGGTGGCGAGGTAGTTCCTCTCCACAGCCATGAGATCAGTAGGCTCAGGGACATCACGGCCGACAAGAGCCTTTGTGGCAACATCAATGAAGTTGGTGCCAAGGACCTTGCTGACAAAGGGGAAGGAACGAGAAGCACGGAGGTTGCACTCGATGACCTTGAGGTTCGGCTCAGAGCCCTCGACTTCCTCCTTGATGATTTGCATGTTGAAGGGACCAGTGATGTTCCAGGCCTTGGCGACCTTGTCGGCAATCTCCTTGACACGTTCTTGGATGCGCTTGTCAAGGTTGACTGGTGGCAGTACAAGGGTGGCATCACCAGAGTGAACACCAGCATTCTCAACGTGCTCGCTGACCGCATGAACAAGGACATTTCCGTTAGAAGCAACAGCATCGCAGTCAATTTCTTGAGCGCCGTCAATGAACTTGGTAATGACGACCGGGTGGTCGGGTGACACGTTGGAGGCAGCGAGGAGCTTCTCCTTCAGTTCATCCTCACCACGGATGACAGTCATGGCAGCACCAGAAAGGACGTACGATGGGCGGACAAGAACTGGATATCCAACAGAGCTTGCAAACTTCTTTGCATCCTCGTAAGAAGTAAGTTCCTTCCAAGCTGGCTGGTCTACACCAATTGAGTCCAGAATAGAAGAGAACTTGTGGCGATCTTCGGCCTTGTCGATATCTGCGGGATCGGTTCCGAGAACCTTGGCCTTTCCAGACTCCTGCAGCTTCAGAGCAATATTCTGGGGAAGCTGACCCCCGACAGAGACGACAACTCCGCTGGCGGTTTCAAGCTCGTAGATATCCATCACACGCTCATAGCTGAGCTCTTCGAAGTAGAGCTTGTCGGCGACATCGAAATCCGTACTGTAGGTCTCTGGGTTGTAATTGATCATGACAGTCTTCTTGCCAAGTGCGTTGAGGGAGCGGGTAGCGTTGACAGCGCACCAATCGAATTCGACAGAGCTTCCAATGCGGTAGACACCGCTACCAAGAACGATGATACCATGGTCATCAAAGGTAACATCGTGTGATGAAGCGTTGTACGTAGTATAAAGATAGTTTGTGTTTGCAGGGAACTCAGCAGCCAAGGTATCAATACGCTTGACCCATGGCCTGATTCCAAAGCCGGTCCTGCGGGCGCGGACCTCGTCTTCTGTGCTGTTAACTGCCTTTGCAATCTGCTTGTCAGAGAAACCAAGCTTCTTGGCCTTGAGGATAATCTCCTTCTTGAGGCCGAACAGGCTGCCAATGTTCTCAAGTTCCTTTGTGCAGTCAACAATGTTTTGCAGCTTGTGCAAGAACCACTTGTCAATCTTAGTGAGATCGTGAACCCTATCAACGGAGTAGCCTTCGTGGAACAGAGCTTGACCAACAGCAAGCCATCGTCGATCAGTAGGGTTCTTGAGCTCTTCGTCGAGGCTCTCGCCGTACTTTTCGCCCTGGAAACCGAGGTACTTGGGGTCGACTTGTCGGCAAGCCTTTTGGAAAGACTCTTCGAATGTACGTCCAATAGCCATAACCTCACCGACCGACTTCATGGAGCTGCCAATATCGCGCTTGACGTTCTGGAACTTGCTGAGATCCCATCGAGGCATTTTGGTGACAACATAGTCCAGACTAGGCTCGAAGTTTGCGGTTGTGGTCTTGGTGACGGCATTTGGTAGTTCAGGAAGCGTGTGTCCAAGACCTATCTTGGCTGCAGTGTAAGCTAGAGGGTAACCAGTTGCTTTGGAAGCCAGTGCAGATGAACGAGACAGACGAGCATTGACTTCAATGACACGGTAATCGAGACCATCTGGCTGCAGGCAGTACTGTACGTTGCACTCTCCAACAACTCCCAAATGTCTGACAATCTTGATAGACGCAGATCGGAGCATGTGGTATTCCTCGTCGCTGAATGTTTGACTTGGCGATACAACGATACTGTCACCGGTGTGGACACCAAGAGGATCAAAGTTTTCCATGTTGCAGACTGTAATGCAGTTGTCGCTTGCATCACGCACGACCTCGTACTCGGCCTCCTTCCAGCCCTTGAGCGACTTCTCGACCAAGATTTGGGGTGACAGCGTGAGTGAACGAGCCGACAAGTTCTTCAGCTCTTCGGGGTTGTTTGCGAAACCAGAACCAAGACCACCCAGTGCATATGCAGCACGAACAATGATGGGGTATCCGACCTTTTCAGCAGCATCCAATGCCTCGTCCACCGTGGAGACGGCAATTGACTTGGCAATGGGAATGTTGATTTCTTCCAAAGCGCGCGCGAAGAGATCACGGTCCTCACTCGTCTTGAGAGTCTGGACGCTAGTACCGAGTACCTTGACACCATATTTTTCAAAAATGCCCTTGGCATCCATCTGGACACCCAGGTTCAATGCAGTTTGACCACCAAAGCTGAGGAAGATTCCGTCAGGCTTCTCCTTCTGGATGACATATTCGGCGTATTCGGGAGTTACAGGCAAGTAGTAGATTTCATCGGCGAGCACGTGGGATGTTTGGATAGTAGCAATATTAGGGTTGAGCAGCACGGACTTGACACCAGCTTCCCTCAGAGCCTTGAGCGCCTGTGAACCTGCAATTCAATAAGCATATGATCATTCTCGCGTAATTGTGTCTAGTGGTGTTTACGCACCTGAGTAGTCAAACTCTCCGGCCTGACCAATGCTGAGACCACCACTGCCAATGACCAGGACTTTCTTTACGTCGACAAGATCCTGTGCGCCAGAAATGACGCCGCTCTTGAGATACGCCTCAGCATTGGGCGCTGTCTGTGTCTTATTCCATGTTGACGCGACCTTTGTGAATGCCCGCAGTTGCCGGTAAACCGCAGGTGACTCACTGCTGGAGCGGAGAGAAGTCAGAGGGCGAGCAGCGCGGGTTGTGAAGTTTCGCGAGCATGCAGAAGATGTCAATGAGCGAGTTTGACCTGCGAGGGTGGGTACGCGACGTGCTAGACGCCCGCAGAGAGCCATTTGCAGGCGGACAAGCGGCTTGAGGGCTGTGAGCTTGTTGAAGATGGGAGCGACAAAGAAAGGCGACGCACGCGCTGGAAAAAAGTCGCTCGGTGGTTGGCGGGGGGAATTGAAGAAGTATAGCTCAACCCTAGCGGAGCCAGAGCACAAATGACTCCCTCAAAGTTTATGAACAATCTGTGGGGAAAGCTGCGATGCGGCAGCCAAAAAAATCCAATGATGCGCAACGGGCCAATCAGGCTATCTCCGATAACGCTCAGATAAGACCGTCGGCGATCACCAACTACGCAATGGAGGGGGAGTTGTGAAATGCTTGAATTCCACGCTGACATTGCGCATTCAAATGTTCGCCCGTCTACACAAGGTGACTCAGTCAAGACGCACGATCCAGTCTGCTGCCAGCCTACCCGCCTCTCCATTGTCCCGTCTTGTCACCAAGAACCCCCATGCGGAGGACCGATTACGGCGCCGAAGATCGATCTCCATCCTCTAGCACACAGCGCCGATGAGCAGAAATTTTGACATCGTCTTGCAGAACTTTTCTCAATACAGTCATACGGGTACTAGCTTGTGTTTCTTGGCGCACTTGCATCGACATTGCATTACTACTTTGAGACTCGGACACGCTCCATGGGTAGTCGTATTTCCCCCCCAGGACATTTAGCATGATTCGTTGCCCGACCAACCCTAAACTATTTCCTGATGGCCTCGTGGAGCTAGCCAACAACATTGACAGATTTTGCAACAGCAATAGCACAGTCATCGATGGACTCCAAGTTTTCTGAGAAGCTTTGTGGAATCCTCGGCCCGTAGTACGGCGAAATACTGCTCGCTAGCATCGAGCCGGTGCCATGCGTGAGACTGCCTCGATCGCAGCGCCAATCTCCTCCCGTGTCTAGTACGTGGACATGTCGCGTTCTCCTCGCGGTAGACTCATCTCACGCTGCCTTTTTTGCTTTGTCTGCTGCTGCATGTCGCGCCTTGTACTCCCGCGGGCTCTCTAATGCTTTCTTCGGTATACCGCTCAGTCGCTGCCTCAGACTCGGCTTGGCCCACATTCCAACCTGATCCTCTCGAGCCTTCTTCTCTGCTGCGCGGTACTGGTCTTCAGCACTTCCAAACTCTGCACCTGACTTGGCTTCATATATCGTCGCCAATCCTGCCTTTAACATCTCCAACCCCACGTCCTTCTTGAAGAACCATCGGCGTACATAAACTTGGGCTACCACACGGTCGTACTGGTCACGCCTATATATGTATGCGCGTACTCGACGATGGTGAATAAGGCCGATGAGCCAGTCTTGGGCTTCCTTTGCAAAAGGCTGAGCCTCTCGGCCCCAGTGCGCAAGTTCAGGCGCGTCCACTCCAGCGATGCGTATATGAAGCTGTTGGTCCAGTTAGTTATGTATCTGATGGCATGTAAGCCCAGGACAGTGCAGTTCGGGCTCAGGACCCGATTGAGACTCACTGTCTGCTGAGCCAAAGCCTCTTTTGTAGTAGGCACCCTCTTCCAAGGTAGCCATCCCCATCCTGCTATTCTCCCGCCAGGCGTGTGGTAAAGTCTGAAATTATCCGCGTCCCCTACGCTCGTGACTTGACCAAATAGACTTCTGCGACGGAAGTAGTCTGGTTTGATATGGTTCACTGTTGGTATTCTTCTTAGATAGGCCTTGTAGAAACGGAGCGCAGCAACCATTGATGCTGTTAGCGCAAGAGACGGAATCAGGGTCCGCGGTTCAGTCCATGACCCTGCAAAACCTGTCGACTTTGTTGGCGCGGTCCATAAAGGAAGGCCACTCTTCTTTTCGTCGTCATCATCATTGACTGACCAGGGCCATCGCATCTTTCTTCTTCCTTGAATGCGAGGTCGCGGGGAAAGGTTTGTCTGGGCAGACGACGAAAGCCGACGGGTCGGCTGAAGCGATACTGCGTTAACCCTACGGGGATTGACTAGCGTGGTCGAGCACGTGATATTGTTCCGCCAAAAGATTGGATGGTTGATATGCGGAATTGATACGGTTGTGAAATGAGGAAAAATGAATCAATTTAGGTCTGCGGTTTCATCGCCGAGCCAAAGAAAAAGGGGACATGATAGTGAAGATTAAATATATGGCAAGGCGACAGGTTCAAATGGCAAGATTGAAATATATCATGTGCAAAGAATCCATGGCTGCCACTGGATACTCTGCAATGCCTTGATATCTCGATACCATATGCGGTAAAGGTATATCACACAAGACGGATCTCGTTGTCAAATGAGCTCCGAGAGCGGAGGTTCTATCACAATTACCTTGCATGAGCTCACACTATATTATCATCTCACCATGTCAAATGGAGAACTGATGATTTAGTCGTACTGACCGGCATACGTTTTCCTAAGACATCAGCGATATCTTATATGCCTTTCTCTCTACTTTGAAGATGGGTATGAATTAAGGTGTCCGGTTGAAAAGGCGAACGGCAATGATTGGTATACACAAGATAGGTGACAATATTCGGCTTCTAGGCGTTGTGTAAACGCAGTACGGTTTGATACGGAGGCTGGCTTGCGAAGGAGAGTTGGTTTCTGCATAAGTTCATCAGCCGTCATCCGAACAGGAACGAGTCGAAACATCCATGCGCGAAAAGACCAAGTGCAAGATCCTTACATTCCATGAGGTGGTCACGGTCGACAACCTAGACGACCAAACTCGTTAAGCACATAGCATATGCATCCAATGCGCTCCCGTTGGAAGCTTCGAAAATGTTGATGGGGTTGGCTGAAGCTTATATCACGACGTGCTGGAGCAATGTTCGCTTCCGTACGAGCGGGGTCAGCTACGGCCAACCAGTCACTTTGTTGTCGCCAAGCTGCGCATCAACCATGTGAATCTTTACACAGATCCATTGTCGCAATGACGGAGCGTGGAGGAATGTTTGAGCTAGTTGGAGAGGGCTGAAGTCAGAAACGACCGGGTTGGTTTCGACCGAATTTGCCTAGGTGGGTATGGTGCGCTTCTTTCGTGCCTTGACCTCCATAAGTCTGGGCATCCGTCCATCACCTGTCTGCACCCTCGCACCATCGCTACAAGTTCAACAAGGTCCCTCATGCTTTGCAGAATACAACGCCGCCCGCTACCCGCTACAACCTTATCGCTGCGATTGTGCGGCCAACGGCTGATTGTGGCTCTGTAGCGGCTTCCCTGTCAGGTGCCTCCCCGTCTTTCCTCCTCGGATCTTTATCAATATGTTCTCCATCGCATCCACAGCCGATCCTACCGCACTCGATGACGGCTCGTACCTCTTCGATCAGAATCAAGATGATCTGTTGTCATTGCCAATGTCCAATGATAGTATACATCTGAAAGGCGGTGTCGCACCTATACCTGGGTTTAGTAACTTGGGCTACGGCCGGGAATCGAGTGCATCGTCCGTGCACTACGGCGACTTGATTGATACATCAGAACCCAGCACAAGTCACGAGGGGGAAGGATCTACTCCAGGCACATTGGCAAATGGATACACGACAAACTACACTCCTTCGCCACTGCAGCATCCATTCACCCCAAACTCGGCCGTTAAGGGCATGACTAGTACCCAGAGAAAACAGCCCTCTCATCAAAACCACGTCTCTTCACATACGTCTCTCAACGAAAACGGCACGAAAGCTCATTCATCATCAAAGAGTCATCAGAGAGATGGCGCATTCATGGCGGGCACACCACATAGTCTGAGTGGCGAATCACAAGCATCTTCGACCCCTGAGCTTCCACAGTCACATGGACAGCCAAAGAAGCATCGCAGGACAAATTCTCTCCCTGTAAAAGGGAAGGCTGTCGAGATGAAGGCGAGTTCTAGCATACCTGCAGATGTGTCATGGCCCGAATTCGGCCGGCAATGCATTCTAGCAGCAGAGAACAGCCGGCTCAATCCATTCACTCTGCATCCCACCGAGTACAAGCTTTTACGTGAGCATGTCACTCACGCCCAAGTCACGATTTATCTGAACATCAGAAACGCGATCCTGCGCTTGTGGCATCGCAACCCTCTGGTATACGTCTCTCTCAAAGAAGCTGCAGGGTGCGCCCGTGACAAGCGCTACTTTGGTCTGGCAAAGGTGGCATATCTGTGGCTTATGAGACACGGATGCATCAATTTTGGTTGCGCTGAAGTACCGAATAATGCTGGTACTCTCTCGAAATGCAAAGCAAAGACGGCAACAAGACGGACAATCGTTGTAGTTGGTGCAGGCATGTCGGGACTAGGTTGCGCTCGGCACCTGGAAGGAGTCTTTGCCCAACTTGGAGATCAACTGACAGATGCGGGAGAGCGTCCACCGGAGATTATCATCCTCGAGGCCCGTCCACGTGTCGGTGGTCGAGTGTATTCACATCCTTTTTTGAATCAATCCGGTTCTACACTCCCACCTGGAAATCGTTGCACAGCTGAGATGGGTGCTCAGATTGTTACAGGATACGAACACGGCAACCCGTTGAATGCGATAATTCGAGGCCAGTTGGGCTTGCCCTATCATGGTCTAAGAGACAATACGATACTCTACGATTATGATGGCACGGTTGTCGAGAGAAGTCAAGACATACTGGTAGAGAAGCTGTACAACGATGTACTCGAACGAGCGGCAGCATTTCGAAACAAACCTACTGCCCACAGGATAGTAGAGGGTGATCGAAACTTGATGGCGTTTGGCCGTGAGCCCGCTGACGTTGGTGGGCCTACCATTGCCGAGCTAGAAGAGTCTGAGGCTCCTTTGCCAGCAGACGCGATAAGCGCAACATCGACAAAGCAAGAGAAGCCAACTACCGGGGTAGAAAAGCTGGCGGGGAGAGCATATCAGTTGAGCGCTGGTTTCGACCCTGATGTCACAGCCGCAAAGACGGTACAAGACATGGGATGGAAACTGAAGGATGGTGTGACGGACGACCAAACATTGGACCTGGATACGATTGCAAGGGCATCGGAATACCCGACATTAGGCCAGACAATGGATGAGGGACTCCGGCAATATCAGTCACTTGTCGACTTGAAACCCAGAGACATGCGCCTGCTCAGCTGGCACCATGCCAACCTCGAATACGCAAACGCTGTGAGTGTGAACCAGCTCAGTTTGAGCGGCTGGGATCAGGACATAGGAAATGAATTCGAAGGCGAGCATAGTCAGGTAATTGGGGGTTATCAGCAGGTTCCGCGCGGGTTGTGGCAATGTCCTAGCAAGCTGGACGTACGGTTCAGCACGGCTATCAAGACTGTCCACTACAACACGGAAGAACAGCGAGTTGGCAAAGCTGTCAGAATCGAATGCACCAACGGCGAAACATTTGAAGCCGATCATGTTGTCCTCACTACACCCCTGGGGGTACTGAAATCAGGATCTATCAAGTTCGAACCCCCACTTCCTAGCTGGAAGCAGGATGTGATTGAACGCATGGGATTTGGACTTTTGAACAAGGTGGGTCTGTCTGTTCTGTCAACTGTGCGCTTTCTCATGACATGAATAGATTATCCTCGTGTACGAGAAAGCCTTTTGGGAACCGGATCGAGACATGTTTGGACTGCTCAACGAGGCCGAGCGCGAGGGTAGCATGCGACCAGAGGAGTATTGTTCGAAACGAGGACGGTTCTATCTGTTTTGGAATTGCATAAAGACGAGCGGAAAGCCAGTGCTAGTAGCGCTCATGGCAGGTGATGCTGCCCACTACGCCGAGACGATGTCGGACGACCAGCTTGTCAAAGAAGTGACGGACCGGCTCGACGCAATGTTTGCGCCAAACACTGTACCACTCCCATCGGAAGCGATTGTGACGCGGTGGAAGAAGGATCCATTCGCTCGAGGCAGCTACTCATACGTGGGACCAAGGACACAGACTGGTGACTACGATGTCATGGCACGGCCACACGGCCCGCTGCATTTTGCTGGAGAAGCAACGTGCGGCACACATCCTGCGACTGTGCACGGGGCGTACTTGTCAGGCCTCCGAGTGGCAGCGGAGGTTGCCGAGAACGTACTAGGGCCCATCGAGATACCCAGTCCGCTTGTGGAGAAGAAAGCGATCAAGGCCGAGTTTTCGACGACTCCGACTGCAGAGTCGAAGCGGCGATTTGAGCCGGCTGTGGGGCCAGTGAGAGAGAACAAGAGTGGGCGTGTGCAGCGCGACGAAGACTACGAAGCGGCGATTATTGGGGCCATTTTGGAGCAGATTGGCGAACGTCCAATCAAACCCGGGCGGGCAGGCGTCAACCCATTTCTGTTGTTCACGAAAGACTTTTGGTATATTTGCAAGCAAGAGTGTGATGAGGCACACCGGGTCAAAAGTGGCAATGCTGATGCCAAAGCTCCAAAGCAAGAGATTCGCAACGCAGTAGGGCTAAAATGGCGCACGGCAGAGCAGCATGTCAAGCAGCCATATCTGGACCAGGCTAGCAACGCACGAGAGGACGCAACGGCAAGTGCAGTAGAGTTCAAGGAGCGGGTTGCTACTTGGGACAAGGAGGCAGCACGCATACGGCGGGAGTACATTCAAGCGCACCCGCCTGAAGGGGGCAATGAGGAGGTGATGCTCAACAGCCGAACGGCGATTGAGCTGGGGGCTGGGAAGCGACTACGCAGGCTGTGATGTTGGAGACGTGGATGTTTTGGTGTTGTATTATTCGTGTGTTGTGTAAGTTTATAGAAGCGCGGTTTGCATGTGCAGGCGTTTGTAGACAGGCCCGCATCCTTGTTGTTGTGGTTGGGTAGGCGGGATGATAATTGATATTGGACCTCGCAGAGGGCTATTTTTAGGTAGAGGCAGCGACGCGAGATGGTTGTCACTTGTCAGACCACTTGTGATGGGCGTCTACGCCACAGTTGGGCAGTGCATGGTATGCGGGATATGTTGGGGAAGGCACTCTCCGCCTGGCAGCTGCTGTTTGTGTCCATGTGAAGACAATACTTGTTAGTCATGGCACGTGACGAGACATAGTGTACACTATACTGTACTACTGTACACCTGCATGTTGCGAGCACTATATCTGTCTCGTTCTGACGTCAACTGCCAAAACAAAAAAAGGCCGCCGGAGCCCTGGTCGTGCCCAGCGTGCGGGAAGACGCTAGACGCATGACCGTTGTCTCCAATGGCGATCTCGCGACAGCCGCCAACAAGCGCCACGCCTACACCTACTTGCCGTCGTGCTCCAACAGCAACAGCCGCTGCGCCTGACTGGTGGGACTTTAGGCACGCATCGAGAGTGCTTCGGGCGGGCAAGCTGGGTGGGCAGCGGTGGTATCAAGAGCGTTGGATGGCTCTATACATACTCCATGTACTACATAACAGTATACATGTACATACATAGGCCCCACGGTCGAGGACGGGCAAGTCGCAGGGTGAGACGAGGCAACGGGACGGGGTCAGGATACTGGAGAGAACCGGTGGCAGCAGCGTTAGCCCCGTCCCGTGTCCTTGTGGCGGGGTCGAGTGCCCGGTCGTGGGGAACGGCCGGGCTTTCTCTGCTGCACGGCGCGCTTCTAGTAGCCTGCCACTCCTCTAGCCTCGCCCTCGCCCTCGGCTCCGGCTCTGCCCTGCCCTGCTGCCCTGGCTTGCCCTGACCTGCCAGCCTTTCCAAGCCGCGTTGTGAGCTGCATCCTTCACGCCTCGCCTGCTCCCTGCTCCGCTTCTTCTCCATGTTGCCCTCCGCCTGTTCGCACAACCTGGGCCCATACACCCACCCGACGCCGCTCTCCACCTTCAACGCCGCGCCCCCAAACCCGCTGCTCCCAGAAGCCGCCTCGCACGTCTGGTAGAGAACCCTCCTGCACCCTACCCTACCCACCCCACTGCAACCCTGCCCAGCCCAGCCATGACTTCCTTTTTCAGTCGCATCAAGTCTGGCGCTGTAAGTCGTCCCCGCCTGCATCCCTCCCGCGCCTGTCAACGCGCCTGTCGCCAATTCCTGGTACTGATGCTGCTCCCAGCCTCCCTTGACCCCCGCGACCGGGAGCACGCCTGTTAAGAAAGACACCAACGCGCCCGAACCCACGCCGCTCGAGAAACTGCTCGTCAACGCCGGCCCTGTGCGTGCCGATGGTAGCGACAAGTTCTTTGGCTTCGAGAATGTGAGTTGCCTTGCCTGGCGAATGAATGCGCCTCTAGCGTCCGCCTGCTAACGATTCCCTCTTCTAGTTTGGAAGCACATGGTATGCATACTCTTCACTCCCTGTCTGCGCCTGCTCTTCTAACCAGTACTTACTCTACCGCTAGCTACTGCAACTCGATAGTGCAATGCCTATACTACTCAGTCCCCTTTCGAGAACAGGTCATCAACTTTCCCGCCCGTTCGCCCCCAGAAGCCCTCGAGCGGCCCTCATCGAGCCTGCCCAGGCTCAACACCAATCTCGCCAATGGCCAAAGCACAGCCCTCTCGCCGCCGGGGCGCAATTCCATCTCGAGTCCCAATTCAAGAACGCCCGCAAAACCCGCCACCACTCCAGGTGCACCTAACCAGCCTCCAGGCACCAAGCCCGAGGATAACAAGGACTCGCCCGAGTACAAGAAGAAGCAGGCCTTGGCGGCCGGTCCGGTGCTACAGATGGATTACGAGAATGCAAACGCATACGGCATGAATGAATCGCTGTTTTCGTCGCTAAAAGACATATTCGAGGCCGTCATAGCACACAGGTCACGTATAGGCGTAGTCAGCCCGCACAAGCTGCTCGAGATTCTACGCAGAGACAATGAAATGTTTCGGACTCCGATGCACCAAGATGCACACGAGTTCCTGAACTTGCTGTTGAACGAGGTTGTAGAGAACGTTGAACAATTTTCAAAATCCCGTGCGGCCGAAGCCAACACCATCGAAGAGAACGGATCAACAATTGCATCCGGCGAGGTAGTGCCAGCTCAAAACTCTGTGGTGTCTGCAAAACCCAATTCTGGATGGGTGCACGAGCTGTTCGAGGGCACTTTGACGTCCGAGACACGGTGTCTCACGTGCGAAAACACATCACAACGAGACGAGGCATTCCTGGATCTCTCTGTCGACCTCGAGCAGCACTCGTCGGTAACTAGCTGTTTACGGAAGTTTTCCGAGGAAGAGATGTTGTGCGAGCGGAACAAGTTTCACTGCGACAATTGTGGAGGTCTACAAGAGGCAGAGAAGCGCATGAAGATTAAGCGGTTACCCAAGATTCTTGCCCTGCATCTGAAGCGCTTCAAGTATACCGAGGACCTGCAGCGGTTACAGAAGCTGTTTCATCGCGTCGTCTACCCCTTCTACCTTCGCCTGTTCAACACCACGGATGACGCCGAAGACCCAGACAGATTATACGAACTATATGCAGTAGTCGTGCACATTGGAGGTGGGCCATATCACGGCCACTATGTGTCCATCATCAAAACACAAGACCGAGGCTGGCTACTGTTCGATGACGAAATGGTTGAGCCGGTAGACAAGGCATATGTCAGGAACTTTTTCGGCGGAGAAAACGTCTTGGCATGCGCATATGTCTTGTTCTACCAAGAAACAACAGAGGAGGCCATGATGAAGGAGCAGGAAGCCGACGCACTGGCTGCAGCAGAGCAGGCCGCCAAGATGGCCCAAGAAGAGGTTACCACGCCAAAACAGAATGGCACAAACGGCACGAACGGAACGCCATTCCATGCCTTTCACAACGCAACAACTCCCTCGGTCGAAGAGGCCGACAAGTTTGCCAGTCTTGCGCATGCAGCCACGGCACCGCCCCTCGCCCACGTCGAGGCGAGTACCGACAATCACCCAGTTGAACACACCACATCTCATATCCCCACTCTAGCTCCGCGCAAGAGCAACCTTGGCCTTTTTGGAAAAGGAAAGGAAGACAAGGAGCGCAAAGCGCAAGAGAAGGAGCTTGAAAGGCAAGCAAAGCAGAAGCGCAAGGAGATGGAAATGCAAAGGCGGGAAAACTATCGCAAGCAAGAAGAAGAGCTCAAGGCTGTCTTAGAAGCTAGCAAAGCGTCTGCTGCAGAAGAGGAGAAGAAACGCGTTGCTAGCGGTGAGGCACCGCCACCTCCAGGGTCACCCCCAACCCCGAATCCTGAAAAGGACAAGCATGCAAACGGCTTCGGTAGCGTCAAGGGTATGAGTGGATTGAGTCGCTTCAGACACACGTCCATGAGCCTCAGGACCAAGCCGAAATTCTGGTCTGGGCACAAGGACAAGGATGGTCATTCCGACGAGCCCCCTCTACCTGATACCCCCACAACAGATACCGACACGGCCGGTAAGAACCGCTTCAGCATAGGGCGGAAAAAGAGCACGTTTAAGTTTTAGGAAAACGACTGATTCTTTTTGTCGCAAATACGCATCTTTCACGCTGCATATACAGCAACAATCTTGGGACGCAAATTCGGATGCAGCTAGTTTCAGCATGTCGGCCACTTTTGAGCGTTGAGAGTCTCTCTGTGCAATATGGGAAATTTGCATGTTGAGGAGAGACTATAAGCGTTGTAATCTTAGTAGCTCTTTTTTTTCCATGGTCGGTGTTTCTCTAGGTGCATTTTTCCTTTTTTTTCGTTGTTGATTTTCCAGAGCATTCCGCTTTTTTTTTTGGGGGGGGGGGGGGGGGCTACTGATAACAAGCCCGTTGCTACTGTACTCTGATTAGGGCGATTATATTGTATTGGACCTGAAAGAAGAAGAGATATGAAAAGCAAAAGCAAGAGTTGTTTTGGAACAAGGGGGAATTGCTATATTATCCCTTCGATTTCAATCTTTGTCTTGAACCAGGCTGGGCTAAAGCATGGGTTTCGTTCTTTTTTGCTCATGGTGCGGAGACCATCATGGATTGTCTCATGTCCACGCCTCCATATTGTAAGATAGGGAAAATAACAGTGATCTTGTCCATGTGTTGCCTGCTTGTTGATTATCTGTAAAGAGTTGTCGTATACTGGAGTGTGCTCAATACGATCACGTGGCTTGATTCTCAAGCGCAAAGATATTACATGAATATTCACCTCGACCAGCAAGACGTACGACAGCGAAGATTCGCTAGTGGTCACCCACTTAATTGCTTGTCCGTCAGTCGCGATCATGAGCAGTCTACTATCGCTTATACGTGATATGGTATATATCAACTATCTTCTAATTCTTTCATAGAAATCCGATATGGTCTAGTGGCTAGGATTTGCCGCTCTCATAAGAGTCAGTACGCTTCTATCAGCGCCGGCAAGGCCCGGGTTCGATTCCCGGTGTCGGAATTATTGTTTTTTTGCGGTTCCGAAGACCATCTTTTTGCCTTTTCTTTTCTTTTTGCTTCGCCGACTTTTTTTTGGAGTTTTCGCTCTCATTGTATTAAGGGACTGTTCCACCCGCAATCAGCTACTGTCCATAGCTGAATCATTTTTTTCATCAAGATCAAGGTTGTGAGGAGCTTTTTGGCCATGAAACATCTCGTTCCCAGTCACCAGTGATGGTGTTGTGGTTTTCAGGTTCTACATCCTGACACGCACGAGCATTCAACGTCACCCCGGATTACCTCGGCAACCTATCACTACTCCTCACGCCCATCGTCGACATAAGTCCAATATGGCCGCTTAAGTAAAGCCAGTTAGCGACAAGAAAAAAAACAGCTTGATAAAATAACCTGTTGCAGAAGTGTAACCTCAAATTTGTACTCGTAACTGCCTTCACATGCCACAATGGTGCCACACAATACCCCCGTTATCATTGGTGTAGGCGATATCAAGAATCGCTCTACAGCCGTGTCCGATGCCAAGGAACCCGCAATATTGATGCTCGAAGCTATACAGGCTGCCATATCCGACGCGAGTCCTAATTCTGTCTCAGATCTGCAGGCTGCAATCGATAGTATCGATGTAGTCAAAACATGGACGTGGCCATATCCGGACTTACCAGGTCTATTAGCAGCGAAGCTAGGCGTGCAAGCGGATCTGAAATGGAAACAATATTCCGAGCATGGAGGCGATAAGCCTGGAAAAGTTTTAGATGAGGCGGCGAGGAGGATTGCGAAAGGCGAGTGTGAGGTTGCTGTTGTGACGGGAGGAGAGGCGTTAGCTTCCTGTGCGTAACTTTTTTCTCTTTCATCTGTCTGTCTTAATTTCCTCGGTACATGTGGTGAGAGGACGGCCTGGAAAACTCACTGACAACCCTTTTCTTGCTCTCATTAGTATCTGCATGTGCAGCAGCCAAGAAACTGCCTCCGCCGGACTGGACGCCTCCTTCTTCAGCCGTAGATTCAGTCTTCACGCCTACCGGTCGGGATCTAGGAAACAGTATTTCCCTCCGTCTAATAGTCCTTCTCTCCTACTGACAGGTCCAAGATCTTGGTGCGATACATAAGATTGGTGCTCCGATACACGTTTACCCTTTGTATGAAAACGGGTTTCGTGCTCATCGTGGCCAGTCGCTCCAGGCGAATCACGAAGAGAGTGCGAGGCTGTATGCCGAGTTTGCTCGTGTGGCAGAAAATAACGAGGTAGCATGGGGATATGGCCAGAAAACGAGCGAAGAGGATATTGCAAGAGTTGGGGGAAAGAACAGAATGATTTGTTACCCTTGTACGTCCTCCACTACTTCCTGGCTCGTTCCCCCGTTATCCTCTCTTTACTCGTGACAGGGCGCCACCGCAACAACACTAAGAGTTGCTGACTTCTACAGATCCCCTGCTGATGAATGCCTTCAACACCGTTAACCTCGCCGCTGCTATCATCGTTACATCCACCTCCCATGCTACCCGTCTTGGAGTGCCCCCCTCAAAATGGATTTACCCCCTCGGTGGTGCGGGAACCCGCGACGCAGACGAGTTCTGGCAACGGCCCAATTTCTACTCATCACCAAGTATCTCACGTTCCATCGACGCCAGTCTGCGTGTTTCAGGTACAGCAAAAGAAGACATTGATCTCTTCGATATATACTCTTGTTTTCCGATTGTACCCAAGCTCGCAGCCCAGCATCTCGGATTGCCGCTTACGGGAGGCAAAAAGCCGCTGACTGTGCTGGGCGGGTTGACGTCGTTTGGTGGAGCGGGAAACAATTATTCGATGCATGCATTTACGGAAATCACGAGGCAGCTGAGAGACGGAAAGGGTCAAAGGGCATTGGTACTGTGTAATGGAGGTGTGGTGAGCTATCAGTACGTTGTCATCCTTGGGAAAAATCCTCGGGAAGATGGCCAGTATCCAACGGAAAGCCCGCTGCCGGACACGATCACCGATGTTCCCGCTCCTGAGATTGCGTTGGATGCCCAAGGGGAGGCAGTTGTAGAAACATACACTGTCGAGTTTGGTCGTGACGGGAGTCCACTGAGGGGTTATGTCGTGGGGAGGTTGAGAGGCAATAACAAGCGTTTCTTGGCGAACCATGGCGACGAGAGTACGCTGAGACATATGGCCAGTGGTGTCGGAGAGATTGTAGGCAAGAGTGGGTGGGTGTGGCAAGATACTGCGAAGAAAGGACGGTCACTGTTTGCATTCGAAAAACCTGCAAAGCTGTAAAGTGGTCTAAGATTCATGCATGTACCCGAAACTTGAGACCAAGGTGTTTTTTCCATAGAGAATAGGGTAGTAGGAGTAAGTTAATAATCATTTTCAAGTTCTACAGAAATTTGTCTTTTCAGTTGTTGCTTTCTAGTCTTGACAATATCAATCGCGACCAGGCTTCCCGTAAGTCTCCGTCGAGACGAAGGGATCACTCGCCTAGTAATGGCAGAAATGATATGAAATGGCCTACTGAAGGCGCTGAGATGGAGACGTACTTTGCACGTCGCAGAGACTTCTAAGAGTGGTGATGGTGGACTTCCTCATCACATGTAGACTTAACCTCAAAATCAGCAAGATTTTACATCGCTCTGATGGAATGACATATCTCTCATCATATTTGTGATGTTTCTGGAAAATCCGGGGTGTCCTATGCAAAGCCGTCGTCATTCTTGCAGCAGCTATATAAAAAAACTACGATTGTCGTCAACTGCGTCTAACGAGAACAGTGGTATTATTAGTACAGTAACTTAGATAAAAGAGTATCTGAGACAGTTCTAAAGCGTGTCCATCTCGCCGACTCATCAGAAATTCTTCTCACGTTAACCTTCTTATCATTCCTTCTCGAAAATCTACTCTGTGCTCTTCATCCTATCGATATGTAGAGCGTCTTTGCATTTATACACCTGACTCAGAGATTCTCACTCACGGCCAAGACTACCTAGACCCGTGACGTAGTAACCTATCACTTTCACTGTCTGCGAATCTGTTTTTGGTTAGTGCGGCAACTGCTCTTTCCCAAAATTTCCCCTCGCTTTCTGTTTTTCCCACAAACAACAACACAAATTTTCGGTATGCAGCCGAAATTAATCTTGCTACTCCAGTGTTAACAGGTCTTAGTGTGATTACCAACATGTATAGTCACCGATCCTCTAGCCGTCAGCGCCACGAATCTCTACCGAATAGACCTGGTGCCGCCACTAGATCCGAACAAGGTCATGGCGAGCAGGCTGCCACAACGACGCACGTGGCCCTTAGGTCAAAGACACCGGTAGAGATCTGCAAGCACATGCAGGACGAGTTGAAGGGGCTCCTCGCAATGGAGTATGACAGCAACGCCGAGCCCCCCTTGATGCCATACGGATTTGGTATTGCTTGGGATGACAGTGCCTCAGGATGTATCTTCCCCTGGAGATATGGCGCTACAAATTCCTGCAACCTGGGACTTTGTAAAGACATGTTCATGGGCAAAACGTGTAGGGACAATAAGTGCACACACGTACATAATCGGCCTTCATACGATCAATTTACATACTTGTTGAGCCATCCAGATGCTAGAACAAGGAAAGCTGCAAGGGAATCTGTTCATGATTTTTTCCGCTGTGGTTTCATGCCTGAGTTAGCATGGACATGCGCACTTTCGATGACCCTGTGCCCCCCCCCCCCCCCCCCCCCAAGCCGCCAACAAGTCTAGCCAAGTCGTGGCGTCTTCCACTGTTAAATTGAAGGTCGACCATGGTTGAACTTGAATTGGTGGTGGCTGAACCAAGCCACCTAATACTTCGGATATATGCCTCCCTCCGTATAATCGTAGTTAGGCAATAAATCCATTATCCAATAACCGCGTCCTAGAGATTTTGTATGTTGTACCCAAGTTCAACATGCTGAAGCCGATTGCAGTCAGGGCCTAAGAGAGGCAGCGAGTCCTATGTCACCTGAGCGATTGTCCGCTCACTGATGTACGTGATCTCACACGACCTTGACTTCCTTCGCCACTGCCGCACAAAGTTCAACTCTCACGCCCGTACCGGAAAGTACATGTATCCAAAGCCTCTGCGTATCACTCAACCGATCGTTCTCGCTCTTGGCCTCTGCAAATTTGACCTCGCCCTTTATTTCTTCTTGCTCACCTTGCTCGACTCTCCAGAGAAAAAGATCTGGGACGCCGCCACCCCTCTGCCCATACTCTTGAGCCATGACTTTACATATTGTGGCCAGCGCTTCGCCGTCAAAACATTGCGCAATCTCCACAAGATCTTTCACATCATAGGCCCAGTCGAGCCCGACAACGCAAGTTCGCCGCTCATGATGGTCGTTGTAGATTCTCTGAATAATACCCGGCGCGCCACCGTTTGAAATCTCATTCAGCTGGGAATTGATCTCTGAGATACGCGAGGGGTAGAAGGCGTCGGTGTGCAAGTCCAGTGGGCAGGTCTGGTATGGCGTCTGGAAGACATTAGGGACATATGTAAAGAGGACGTCGTAGAAGAGGTAGGCAAAGAGGGTGCGTATGATACCACCTTCGCTATGGAACCCTTTCCAGCCCTGGTTGCGGTAGTGTGATAGACACATTGCTTCGACTGAACACTCGCCATCCTCGCGTGGGTCAATCCAGATGGTCTTCCCGCCGCGTCTGCCAGAGTTGGGATGTGGAGAGTTGCTTCGTCTTGACGACACAGTGGTTTCACGCTCGATGCGGGTTCCCTTCATAATAACCTCTACTGGCTTTGTCAAGCGCACATGGGAAAAGTCATGCTGGAGTCGTTTGGCAAAGTTGAGAGACATTTCGAGTTTTGTGATGCGCTTCTGGAGGTCATAGTGGTGGATGACATGTACGAGATTGTCTTGCAAGCCATCTTCACACGTCTGCAGTGCAATCTGCTTCCAGTGCCTCTTTTGCTTGTCTACGCTCCTCTTTTCTGGGTCGCTGAGCGCTGCCATGTAGTGCTCCTCGAGAAGCGCTTTGCGTTGATACCATGCACCTCTTCGCGAGTGATGGAAAAGGCGCTGGCGCAACAATTCAGTTACAATCTCGTGCTCGCGTTTGTGTTCTTTCTGACGTCTGAGCACGTCGAGCGCCTTGTGGATGATACGTGTGTACACCCAAGCTGGAGATAGCCGACGTAGATATGAGCCCTCCCCGCTATGATAGACGCCATCTTCTTTTTGCTGCTCTTCTTGGACAAGCGTCTGCCAGCGGGGGTATATTTCCTCAAATGTGTCCAGAATTTCCTGGTAGCCTTTCTCTGTAGGCCTACCACTATATTCTAAAATGTTGTCTATCCTGTGTTGGGTGCGGATGGATGCCTCGTACTCCAACAACAATGATCGCGAAGCGAAGATATTTGCTGATCGAGAGACAATATACTCTGGGAAATTTCGACGCGCTATTTTGGCCAAGATGATGGTTGTCAGCGACTTCTCTGTCCACTCAGTAGACCGGTAAAAAACAAGATGCACACGCTCAAAGAGCTTCAGAGGCGCCAGTGAAAGCCGTATACATGAACCAGTCTCCTGCATGATCCTGCGCGTAAAATGCGCATCACGGTTGGCATCATCTGAGAGATCGCCCTCAGGTTCCAGTTCCACATCTGGTGTTTTTGGCCGAGACCTGGATGCGGAAGAGGCTCTGGACATTTCCGAATCTGACCGCTTCAGCCCAACATAGCCTAGGCCAGTTTGCATCTGACTTGTGCGTCGAAGGGCCTTCAAAAGCTCGCTCTTGTTCTTTCCTTTGACTTTGGCGTCTTTTGCAAGAGCCTTAAGTTCATCAAGTTTCAGAAGCGATGACGCCTCTTCAAGTGTGCTTATCTCCTCTTCGGATCGATCAGCGAACGTAAACGAAGTGCCTAGTACAATTCCAGTCGGTGCTTCCGACTCGCCTGCGTGCAACTCGACTTGGGAAGAGGGTGCAGGCAGTTCATATGTGCGCTGCAATGTTTCAGCTGCTGCATCAAGATCTGAGATATCATCATGATAGCTAAGATTCTTTACTCGATGCCATGCAGATGTCTTGCGCAGGAACAGCCGTACATATCTGCAAGTCGACATCAGAACTAAATCACAACGTCGTCTGCTATTCCCACTCACAAGTATTGCGCCTCATAACCTAAAGTACGCCATATTCGGAAGACTTCTGTCTCTGCTTCATCGAAGAGGTGCCCTTCTTCATCTAGAACAGTGTCCAGTGCCAAGTTGAAGGCATCGACATAAAGCGAGCTCGTGCCCCTGATCCATGCCCGTTTCTCCAGACGTTCACTGGTTTCTTTTGATTTATTCTCTTCTGATACCTTGTATGCTTCATACTCCTTGATGGCGTCGTCGTCTATCTTCACATCTGGCAATGCGCTTTCTAAATCTGTTTTGGGTTCCTTCTCTTCTTCTTTGATTTCCACGCGGGTGCCTTCATCCTCGGAACTAGGTACCTCACGTTTCACTCTTTTGCGTGGCGTAGTCGGTGCCTTTTTTGGGCTGTTGCCTTCCTTTTGACGCTTTACCGGTTGGTCTCGTTCGCCGTCAAAGTTTGTAGATTTCGGATGTTTGATAAATCGAGTAATCATCTGATTGTGAACGGAAAGACTTCGGGGATTAAGGGCCATATCTGTGGTCACAGCAAGCTGCTGAGTGGCTCCATCGGTTCAAAGCAGCGTCGCCACGGGAGCGGACGCGATTTCCCCAGGATCGCGGTGTCACGAGGGAGCTAGTCCTTTCTAGTCACCAAAAGAGCACCTCAGTGACGTCATTGGAAAGGGAAAGATGTGCCTCGTGAAGATGAGCCAGCAACTGAGAAGATGAAGGAGAGATTGCTTCGAAAGTATTCTTGGACTATTTTCCTGGTATCTCTGATACAAACAAACCCAAAGACGTTATTTACTTGGACACTCCAACCTCATATCCTCATGGGCATGTATCGACTTCTTTGGCTCTCATCTGCCACATCTAACAGCGTTTCTCCTCAAAGTCTAATGCGGTCCTCTCCATGCCCGACTCGACCCTTGAAGTCTTCCACGGCTCATGTGTTTACAAATGTGGGTATCGTCTGGTCCATGTATCCAAACCGATGTGCTTGATACCTCCACAAACCCAACAGACAGAACTTATTCAAAAGAATGTGGCATGTCTTGAAAACACCGTGAGTATTCACCTCCCTTGTTGTTGCCCGAGATCCTAATGAAAACCTTGGTGCCATCCCCGATAGCCTCAATGCTCTACGGCTCATGTGTCTTTATGTTGAAATGGACATAAATCTAGATGCAGGTCGTTTCCAATCGCAATGTTGTAGGCGCATCTACAAGATCGATAGTGTATCCCTGTTCTCCTTGGGCCTTGTTGATACTCTTAAGAACCATTAGACTTTAGGGATGCAACGGCGAAAGCGAAGCGCAGTATCGAACTGACTGTATGCACTGCGATAGACACACCGACGTCAGTGACAAAAAAACTGTTTGCCGCACGAAAAAAAGCATCGTCTCCTGTTGGCGACTTTCGTGCGACTCGCTCAATCAGTGTGCGTACAGCTGTTGAGGTGTGGACCCTTCGATGCGCCGAGACCGTTAGCGTCCATCATGAGTGTTGTCAGATAGGTATGCACTCTCTGAGCATATATCAACATTGTGAGACGTACATGCAAACCCATGGCCACTTCCAAAGTTGAATGTTTCATTTGGTATCCCAGTCGCGGGCCCTTCTCCTGCATCAGATGCATCCGTCTGTTGCTCGGTTGGGTGGTTGTGGACCAGACTGAGCGTAGCCCAGTCGATACTTTCCCATGCATCCAGATCCGGCTCGGCGACGTGGTGTTGCAAAGGTCCAATGGGGCTGTTGGCGTCTTCAGCTTTGAAGGGCGCCTCGAAATATGGCGCAAGCCTACGTACAAGACAAAATTATATATAAGCAAACGAATGCATTGGCAGGATGTTATGGTCATCTAACCTGAGATTAACAACCCTTTCCCACAGGTGACAAACAGCTTTATCCAGCTTATAGCTGACCCAGCCGCATAGATGTAGTCGTCCAAGCAGCATCTCTGCCGATAGTATACCGAATTCCGCGCATGCGAGCGATGTCTGATGGATGAACCAGACGGCTTCGGGTGAAGGCTCAGCCGATATCGCACCGATGGATAGAATCCACAGTAAGAGGTCGGGGCAGTTTTGCCACTCAGTTCGGACGGTACAGTTGAGTGCTTTCTCGAGGCGCTTGCTCGCAGCAAAATGGAGAAGATGAACATGTGACTGCACCTTCATTGCCTCTGTTGTACGCACGGTGAAAATTAGCAGCGCAACGCACAATGCATCTTCGAGAGGCGTGACGAGATGTTCGTTTTCTCGCAGCCATGCTAGCAATGAACACTCCAAAACACAGGCAAAGTTTTGAATATCGAGAGGATCCAGCGGGCTTTCGGGGTCACCAAACCAAACGTTGAGATCAGCTATTAGCACAAGCACTGACTCTACCAAGGCATTGAGAGACGTCTTGACACCTGCATAGCGACAATAGTTGTTGAGGTGTTTTGATATGTTCGGGCGGTAGTCTGGGGGGTGGCGTGGGAAGATTGCAGTGTTTATGAAATCCAACGTTGAGAGGTTTGGTGCTTGGAAAGAAGCGACGGCGTGAGCGGTCGAGTGCCTGGTGCTTTGTAAGCACATGCCAACTCAGTTTAGCTGGCGATGCAAAAAAAAAGTGTTTACCCACCAAAGCATAAAGGCCTGGAGGATACGATTCGTCTTGATGGCACCGAGTCCTCCGCGCAATTGCACCATTCGTTGCAATCCTCTCTGGTGTATCTGGAGCTGTGCCATGTGGTCCTCTTCAAGTCTAAAGGTTGGCAGTAACAAGCTTTCTTCGACAGTGAGCAGATTAAAGACTGCGCCAATGTTGGCATCAGAAATTCCTTCTGGAGTCAGTATAGCCGCATTCACAGCAGCGATTGCCTGTGCGCGATGGTATAGGATGGCGTCAATGGTGCCTTTGCCAAAAACATATGCATGCAGGGCTATGGTAGAGAGCAGGCTGTGCATAAAGCCTGGGTTACTTATCGCTGTGCCAAACCAATCCGACTTCATGAGGGTGGACCGATGGCGGACGTCGACTGCAATGATCCCTGGCGCCATCTCGGTTGAGACTGTTTCGTGGTCAGCAACGCAATGCAGCAGGGCTTTGGACAAGCCACAAATGGTAATGGTGCCAAATGCAATGGTCCCTCTTCTGTGCTGACGTGACCAACTTGAGTATGGGACACAAATTAAACAGGGTTGCTGTCCCACCATGCCGGTATCCCCAGACCCATGTACGCAAAAAGACGCAGGGACTACAACTTACAATGCCTCAAAAGTTCAGATACATCTCGAGTAACTTCAATGGATGAAGTGCGAAAGGGATCAAATGATTCGGTGCTTGGGTCTTGAGCAGGCGCAGGATTCTGTAGTAGGCATCTTGGACACAGTCGCTCATTGGGGCGACAGAGAAAGACGTGACAGTCGGAGCAGACAAGTTTTCTGGCCAGCGCATACTCACGGCGGTCCTGGAGAGGAAAATAATCAGATCTGTTTGAGAGGAGCGGAGGACTTGGCGTTGCTGTGTTTGGCGTGTGTGTCGAGGGAGAGGTAGCGCTGTTGGGGCTTGTGCTTTCCGGGCTGCCCGTCTTTCTTTGCTTTGCAGCGTGCTTGCTGGTGGACCATGGGTTCTTCCTGCGCGCATTCTGCATAACAAAGGAACGAGCATTGCGGCGGCCCTGGCGAGATGTCTTTGCTTGAGCGGCGTCGACGAACAGAAAGTCTTGTTTTTGAGACATTATGGGCTCGGCCCGCCAGCGCCGTCGTGGCCCTAGGGTGCCAAAGTGTCCCGTCGCGGGACCCAGCGAGGCGCCGTCTTGTGGGTGGCAGAGAAGACGAAGGGGTGGGGCTCAGTAAGGCGTAGCCGGTCGAAGAGAAGGAGGAGTGACTGGGCCAGACTTTCCTAATCGATGTTCGGCTGCCAACATTTTGATTCTGACATGTGCGGAAACGAGGCTGAGTTGGGGTTGTGTCGTTCTTGGTGATGCTTGACACAGCGGAGGGGCTTGGGCAAGTGCGAACTATCAAGAACCTGATTGGTATTAGGCTGCAGAAGCGACACCGGGTAAGGCCTCTGTCGGGGGCCGCCGATCTAGACCGCTGGCGGGCGTGTATCGAGGCGAGGTTTTTTGACCTGGTGGTTTCTGTAGGCGGATGCAGAGCCGTTGCAGCAGACGGTGAGGGAAGCAGGGTCCCGGCTTATATCTAGGCCAGACATCAAAAATAGCATCAGCATCACCCATGGCCCGTGGCTAACGCTGCATTTGCATGGTCTGTAGTATGTATAGAACGGGGCCCGTCTTCTCGAAGTGCATGGCATGAGTACTTACGGGTTACCTGCCGTCTCCCATATGGCGCTGCATGCACACTGGCTACTGGAGATATGACCGAGTGGTGTCTTAGGGGGGTAGTGAATGTCATGATTCGCTTGTTGCCCCCCCATGCCCATGCAGAGAAGACAGAGAGAAGCGGCTGCACCATCAGCACCTCGGACGCTTGTAACCCGACTCTGCTTGGACGTATGGAGCATGGATGTATTGATGTATGTATGTACCTCCACACATACGCGTGTGTACATGTGTCTTTTGCATGCCCGCCAGGCTGTGTGCAGATGATGGATACGTAGTCACTCTTGGCTTCCGACCGCGTTCCGAGACCGCGGCCAAGGGTCATGTCGCAGACGCCCTGTCGCCCTCGCTCGCAGCAGACTGGAGCGAAGTAGAAACATCGATTCTGTCAAGACGAACGGCTCCATGGCGCACCAACAAGCCCAAAAGCCAAGGGCCACACCGGTACCGACGCCAGCAATCTCTTGGTAAGCGCAACGGGTCCGCGCGTCCCTTTGCCGGCGCTGATGCTCTTATGTTCGCACGCGTCATGTTGGCACCAAATCTTCCCAAAGGCAGATCGCAACTGCTTTTGCAAGCCACAGTGGCGCCCCTCCCTTCATCATGCTGTCTTCTCCAGCCCTCGTCGACATACCCGCCCACATCCTCCATGCCGAATTGCTCCGCAGGCAACAAGAGACGGGTGAGCGGCCAAAGTGCGAGACAAAAGGCGGCAAGGGGCAGTACAACACGACGCTGCATGTCTTTGCCCTGCTGCTCATCCTCACCCTGAGCACAGCGGGTATGTCCGCCGCCCTCCCCACCTTCCACCCCCTCATTGCTAACCCGCACAGCTTGCTCCTTCCCAATCATCGTCAAGCGCTTTCCCTCGATCCCTGTCCCCCACCAGTTCCTCTTCATATCACGACACTTTGGCACCGGCGTCCTCATAGCCACCGCTTTTGTCCATCTCCTCCCCACTGCCTTCGAGTCTCTCACCCACCCATGTCTTCCTCACTTCTGGAACAAGCGCTATCCCGCCATGCCCGGTCTCGTGGCTATGACAGCCGTCTTCGTGGTCGTGAGCATTGAAATGTTCTTTGCAGCACGCGGAGCGGGACATGTGCACTCGACAGGCTACGAGAACCTTGGCTTGGACTCCTCTCAGAATGGCGTCCGTCCAGCCCACAAGAGGAGCCATAGCTACGGCATGTACAGCAACGGCATGCCAGGGGCGAGTGGCCTTGCACCAGGCATTATGCTCCATGACGTCGAGTCCTCAACCAACTTGATGGCTGGACGATCACCCTCCGCTTCAGCTGTATCACCCATGACCCCTACCATGCCCATTGACGCACAGAATCGAAAGTCCATGGATAATGGCCATGACGATGATGATTCTGATCTGGAAATTACTAGAGAGGAACTGGCTCATCAGGATGCCGAAGATTCAGAAGACGAATCCCGCCTGCTGCCAGGACCTCACACCCACCAGCAGCACAGCCATGGCCGCGGCGAGTCGTCCGAAACCCCAGAAAAGTCAGAGGCCCAAAACAAGAAGCTCCTGCTTCAATGCTTACTGCTCGAAGCTGGCATCCTGTTTCACTCCGTCTTCATAGGCATGGCCCTTTCAGTGGCAACCGGCACTGCTTTTGTTGTACTTCTCACCGCCATATCCTTTCACCAGACTTTTGAAGGATTTGCACTCGGTGCGAGAATCAGTGCTATTCGCTTCCCAGCTGGATCACCGAAGCCCTGGCTCATGGCAATGGCCTATGGCACAACGACCCCTATCGGCCAAGCCATAGGACTGGCGATCCACACCCTATACGACCCTGCAAGTCAAGTTGGCTTACTAACTGTGGGCTTCATGAACGCCATATCAAGTGGCCTGCTTCTATTCGCCGGCCTGGTCGAGCTTCTTGCCGAAGACTTTCTTAGTGACGAGAGTTACGTCACCTTGCGTGGCAAGCGACGACTACAGGCGTGCGCCAGCGTTTTGGGAGGGGCGTACCTAATGGCACTTGTCGGTGCATGGGCATAATTCGTGTTTGTATCGTCGTACTTTTTAGCGTCTCATGCATCTCTCTGGCGTTGTGGCTGATGACATTCAGCCCCTTCCGCTTCATAATCACATTCGCCTCTGCAATCAAATCGCGCAGGCCCAAATATCTGGGTTGGGTACAAAGTGTCGCGTATTGCCGAGACCAAGGTTACATTGTGAGGCAAATTGCAAACATGCATCCAAATCCGATATCAGGCGCCTCGGATCATGCCACTGCGGACTTTTTTTCTTCTGTCGTGCGAGTTCGATTGGATGGTCCCTATGATTCCCTCACCATCTATTTTTCCACCTCCTCTTGCTCCTCTGTGCTTCCCACTTTGTGCAACACCTGACCACTCTTCTCGCCTTCGTTTCCGCCCCCAGTACCTATTTCCTCCTCCAATGCTCTACAGCGCCCAACCAAGTCACTGACATGCGCATCGCCACTATCTTCGCTCAATCCGAGCAGCGCAACATCAAGGTTGTACAAGTATTCTCTGTTCTCTCCACTTGGGCCCTTGCCTAGGAAATTACCAATCAACCAAACAATTATCACGAAGAGAAAAGAACGACTCACTTTGTAGGATTTTCCTCGCCAACGCATCCGGGTCCTGTGCACCTAGAAATTGGGGGTTTTCTGGAAGCCCAATGTACACCAGACACTTGATGCACTCTGGCTCGGGTACAAGTGACTCCGTGCTCGTGACCTTGATGGCTGTCGAAGGCAACGACGACGAATCCTCGGCGGGCACTTCTTCGGGCGCAGCAGTCGCGCTGCTAACGGCAGGATGGAAAGGCGTGAATTGGATAGAGTAACCATTTATTTCTCGGAGATCAAGATATTTGCGCACCGACTCGACGTAGCGGGCGGGAATATGGTAGGCTGCGCCCCAGACACGAGAGGGGGCGTCATGCTTGTGGCATGGTCTTAGTATTCATGTGTTATTGTTTGGGGGTGGGCAACATATGCATATACAAATGCACAATGGGTTTTCAGTACGGAAATAACGGAAAAAAACACGAGACTTACTTGATCGCCCAACGTCTCCCAATGCGCCCGATCAATCAAGGTGACGACACGGCCAGGTGCTTCGGGCGTACCGCGGTGATCTTCACTGTAGTTTTTTTTTAACCGTTATCATCCACGTGTTCTGTTGTCCGCAGCATGCTAGACTGAGTCGTGGACATGGAATTATTTACCTCGCCTACACAATTACTAGGTTAATTCTCATTTTTCTTGTCTCTTTTTTTTTCATGCAGATCAACATGTGCATGACTAGCTCCTGAGTCGGATCTGATAGACATCCACCTTGAAGGGAAAAAAATCAACGTACCTGCCAAAACCGCCTCACATAGCCTTCAATATATCCTGGAAGTCTTTGATCTACATTAATTAGAATCAGATCATTTCATTCACTGAATGGCTGAGAGAAGAGAGAAGAAAAGAAGAACCGCAAGATTTGCGGGGAGCAAGAAACAGGACTGAATAGCTTATCCGTAAACGTATCAAGCGACTTTTTTTTCCTTCTCCTCGTTTTTTGGTGGAAAAAAAGATTTAGTAGGGGGCGGGCCGTACCGTAGTGTGGCGGTGGTTTCCAGATCAAGCTTCTATTTCAACCGAAAAAACAAGACACCAAGCGAGTTAGCCCATGTGACACACAAACACAAGCCGCACATGTGCATATACATGCATGCAAACACATATGCACCCAAGACACACACACACACACACACACACACACTTTTGTGTGTATATGAGAGATGGAAGCGAATGCAGGAACGGGGAACTTCTCTCCGCACAGTGATTAACGTACCCATATCCAAAGATCCAAAAATCATTATTAGCCCCAAATGATTCAATCTCCTTCTCATGCTCTGTCGTCATATCTTCCTGACTTTGTCTCTGAATCCTTCGACACAAACGGAACTGCAAAGCTTTTTTTTCAAAAAACAAAAAATAAAAGATGGTAAAAAAACAGGGTTGCAGCAAGTAAAAGTAAGCCGTTGAAGAAGGGGGGAAAGGTCGGAGGGCTGGGAAAGACGAAATGCTTAAGCTGAATGACCTAAGTCTCACGTTGGAGGCAAAAAAAGAGCGCGCGTATGCGTGCATCCGTTTCTACTGGCGGATTTTCTGCCATGAGTGGGTAGTGGCGCATGCGCGCGCATGCTTGTGGGATGGGGCTAGACTACATGGAGTATATGTTACAGGGGGATTTGAGGAGAGGGGGGGAGGGGGTTCCAAAATGCATGAGCGATGAAAAGGAAAGGGAAAAGGGAAAAAGTGAATATGATACGATTATCATATACCTCAGACAAAAGAAGGCTGACTTCAGGGATTGCTTCAGGTCGGGACATGGGACGGGCGGAGGGTGATTCTTCAGAGGTTCTTTTTCTCTTCTTTTCTTTTCTTTTCTTTTAAGATTTTTGGTGAATTTTGTCAAGCTATATAGGTATGTATACAAGATGTACAGTGGTAGATAAAAGTACAGCAATCTTTTGTTTTTGGGATGCTCATGATCCGCCAGCTGCTTTGCTCATGAAGAAGCCTTTGAGCGGGCCCATGGAGTCCACGGCTCTCAAGCCTAGGCTTCGCAGTCCTACGAGTGGTCCTGATTCTACACTATAGAGCCTGTGCAGCTTGTCACATACACCCAGCATGGCATTGTTCTCCGCATATCGTTCGCTGTTGTAGCTTTCCAATGCCAACGTTGACCCAATGTCCTGACCGGTCTGAACAGCATATGATATTGTTCGGACAAGTGCTGCTGCATCGCCCTGTCCTTGGTTGAGGCCTTGGCCTGCAAGTGGATGTATGGTATGCGCAGCGTCACCGACTAGTGCAACTCGTTCGCCTGTATAAGTGTCTGCATGCCGCATACGAAGCGGAAAGGATGCAACAGTGCCGGCCTGTACGTTGGTCACCCACATGGGGATTGCGTGCTCATCAACTGGTGTGTGCTTCTCTCGCCATGCGACCTCTTCCTCATGTCCCGAAGATAGTGTGTGTAAGTACTCGAGATCAGTGGCTGACAGCCGGAAGCCTGCGTTGACCATGGCAACAAACTCCTGCTGCGACAGTGCCTTGAGCTTGGCGGCACGCTCCGGCGTTGTACTCCATACAAGCGTCGACATGTTGCCAGGTAATGGCAGCATAGCAATTGGTCCAGTTGGCAAGAAGCGCTGGTATGCAATCTTGTGACCCTCCCTTCCCCAGCCCTGGCCTTCAAGCTTCAAGCTGGCTACAACTCCATGTCTATTGTAATCGAACCCTCGCGACTCGATGCCTGCAAATGTCCGAACTGGACTGTTCGCACCATCGGCGCCTACCAACAGCCTCGCGGCGAGGGATTTCCCATTCGACAATGTGAGTATCGGCCAGGACGAAAAGTCCATCTTGTCCGTATCGGTGCCCAGGTCTATCGAACTGACCTTGGTAGATGTGTAGAAATCGACACCGCCTAGCTCTTCAAGCCGGCTCAGCAGGGCAGTGACAGTATTGACATTCTCAATCATGTATGCAATGGTCGTCGGCTGCGCGGGGTTGCGGGGGGTAAGGAGAGGCTTTGCGGTATGCCAGTCAAAGGATATGCGTGCTCCGCTTACGCCGTCCCATACTTGCATCTCCTGGTATGGCTGTACTCGAGGCTGGTTGACATGGGCCCACGCTCCAATCTCTACACAGCATATGTTAGACAATTCCATAATTCAAGGATCCACATGCTCGTGCGCACCCTGCAGGTTTCTCACGGAAGCTGGTGTGAGGGAGCTACATCTATTCGAGAAAGTCTCCAAGCTTGCATCTTGCGCCAGCCGGCTCTTGTGCAAATCCTGGCCCTCGATAAGGGCAACCTTCAGTCCATTGGTAATTGGCGATGCTTTCAAACCCGTGAGTAGACTGAGGCCAGCCGGGCCTCCACCTACACAGACGACATCGTAGACTTCTGGTGCATCTGCGGAGCTCGAGAGAAACCTCCGCTGGGGCTGCAGGCGCACGCAGCGTGTCAATGGTGACGATAGGGCCCGGGACGATGCCAATGATATTCGAGGCGGCATTGCGAGCCTTTGAGGAGCTGCCGTGACATACGCGAGTATATGTGATTTGCGCACCTCGAGCGTTGGAATGGTGGTGTCATAGCGGTGTTTGGCGTGTTTGCAGATCCACGCTAGACAGGACATTATCTTATCCGGGGGGCGGGTCGAAGCGGCATGCCGCTCATTGTGGAGGCTGGCTGGGTCCCTCCAACTCTCCAACTTCATGCGGAACCACAACCATGTCCCAGCCAGCCAATCTAAGCAAACGACATCAGTGACGCCAGTACCTTTGCGATGGTACCATTCGGCCCGTAGAGAAACATGCCATTTATCCAGATGCCACCCAGCATATTGATTGCCTGCTGTCAGGGCATGTTGTGGAAGGATCAGACAGCGACCGCATGGAGAATACTGGCCGATTGCCGATCGAGCAGACAGATCTCTCATCAAAAATCACCGCAGCTAATCTGGCTGGAAACTGTATGTTCGGACTGCCCTTCAAGCCGGCACCGGCTGAGACTGCCCTATGGTGCAGGGTCAAAACGACTATTTTCAATGGGTGGAACTTTCCCTATCTGGACGCCCAAACAAGGGATCAGAACCATGGGATCTGACAAAGTCTCTTCATTCCAAGCGTCGCCCATAGAACGGGCACTGTTGGAACCACTGAGCATGGCTCGTTTACGCAGAACGCAAGACGTGAGATTTAATCATTACTTCCTTAAAACTTCCTTTCGGCTTCGGTAGTATTGCTTGTGTGGTGCACTGGTTATTTAATCGGGTCCATACCATGATGTCGACCTGTCTCTTCCTCGATACCAGCCCATCAGGCACGTCCGGCCGCCGTTACGCCCAATGCATCCTCAGCTATTAGGCTGGCTTCTTCTTACACATCGTCCCAAGGTGCCTTGAAAGCCTGCTGGCACACCCTTACAGCCGCGTTGTGTCTTGTATAAACATCGCCTAGGAGCGCCACTTTGGTCTGCACAATTCGACTGTTCCCTTAAACACTTCCCCGCTGGCCCACACAATGAGCCATCAAGCTCACCAACATATATCCTTTACCGAGCCGTTCGTAGCTATGAGTTCCTGCGAAACCGATTCCGATTTGGGAATACTTCAACCGTCTCACGCTCGACGACGTACACTAAAGCGAGAAGTTTCAAAATCCTTTTTGCATACGTGCAGCTACCTCGGAAAGCGTCGGAAAAGGTCACAATCAGTGCCAGAGACGTCCATCGACTACCCTTACCTGGTACTGCCACCTGGAGGCTACGTGATGTCACCATCATCTTCCAATGTCAGTAGCAACCACTCTGTCCTTACCACACCACTTCCCAGCCCTGCCATTGACGACACGGAACACGGACTGGAACATGGGTGGAGACAGTCGCAAGTTGCCGAGCTCCTCAACCGGCTCAACTTCAGGCTCAAGCGGCTCTTCGGCAGCCGGAGAGGCTCGGTCGAAGATGGAGACCCGTCAGTGGCCTCTTCTGACACACGACACTCAAGCTTGTCTTTCAACCTGCGTGGTCTTGCAGATCCAGCAAATATCGACTGCACTCATGAATATCAGATTTGGAATGGGTCATTTCAGCTCCCCAATGTAAGCGAGTTCTTTGACGAAAACGGCGATGTTGGCCCCAGTTCCTTCTACAACACTGCTGACTGGAATGCTTTCCAGGAAACGTTGCAGGCACAAGGGAATGCGGCCATACAGACACACGTTAACAGCCACCGAGGTTCCAACGTGGATATGGATCTGGACCGATTGGATTGGTTTCGAGCACATGGCACGCAGGGCTCTGATTGTGAGCCTCGGACACGCAAAGACTCGTTCTTCAGCTTTGGCGATTTCCTGAGATCGCGACGGTCTAGCAAAGTGGATAAAGGGAAGGGGCGCATGACTATTGAAAACGATACAGCTGTGGGGCCACTAGACGAAATGGCGCTTCTATCTAGTGGCAGTACGAGATTGGTAGTGGAAACACGCTGTCTTGGTGAGATTGGTGTTCTTCCTCGCGTGTCAATGGAGACGATGTTGCCTCTTTTGCCAAAGGAACCACAGGATGTCCCACAGGCGGAGTTCTCCAGCTTGGAATCTAGCACGCCATCATTGCATTGCTCGGAGTCTTCGACACCACCCGGTGAAGAAGCGCAGGAAAGACAGATGCACAGAGCACAACCAGTCAGCTCTTGCATCACCATACCACTTTTGTTAGAGGGACAGGCAGGAGATGCAAAGGCAGCCTGTGGGTCTCCAGCGTCGTCGGTCTCTAGTATGGATGATCAACTGGTTCCCATTAGACCTGCGACGCCGGTTCTGGTCCCCACCATTGTGTCATCGCCATCGCCACTGACCCCGATGCAAAGTCTCAGTCTGGGCCCTCGGCAACACGATATGGAATGGAGCCGGTGTTCTTCGAGCAAATGCAGATCTCGTGTCTCGTTGTGCGAGATGTTGAGTGATGAAGCGCCTCGGACGGTGTGCTGTTGCTCTTGTGTTCGGGGAGGAGGTAACAGGGCATCGGGTGGACTGGGATTGAGGAAGAGTTTGGATGATAGGTGTTGGTGGGATGGCGATGATGGTGGCAAGAATGGTGCAACGCGGAGAGTGCACATGTGAGAGTGAATGTTCAGGAAAACAAAAAAGTAGTCGCGGCTTGTTGGTGACGGGACGAGACGGGTAGTGCGTGATCATCACGAGTTGCTCTATTCAGCGTTAGTAATAGTTAGTAATGAATTGGACCTTCATAAGCTTTGCGCCCAGTGCTTCATATTTTTGTGCTGTGTGCCTGAACCTGTTTATGTTTTGATATCCGAGGATTGTGTTTGGGGAAGGGTGCATGGGATGTGAGTCAGGGAATCGCAGTAATGTGCATCGGAAACATGATTTCCATAATCAACCGTCGTGCCGGTTATTCGTATTATAACGTGATACTATGCCAACTGTACTGCGGCTGATGCTCGTGCTCCCAAAATATGCAAATACTGCCGAGAAGAACCGCAATGCTCTGAATCAAAAGACAGGGGAGACCTCGCCAGGCCTCGTGCTAAAATGAGCGAGTCATGTATCGCTTCCCCAAATGGGTATCGAAAACTGAAAGGACTATTTTTGAATCCGAGACGCTATGCATGAGAAGAGGGAGTGAAAAATGCAGAGAAAATGAAAAGATGCGTGCTTGTTTTATCCTCGCCGGACCTCATTACAAGAGGACGGCAAAGCCGAAAAAGACGCTGCCGAAGAGAGCAGCCAGACCCAGACCAGCGTTGGGCATGAAGAGGGAGCCAGCGCCGGTGTTGTTGTTGTTGTTGCCACTGTTGCTGCCGCTGCTGCCGGTGGGCTCGGCACCACCGAAACCAGTGACTGGGATGGTGTTGCTGGCGGTACCGGATGGCTTTGCGGTGGAGGCCATGGTGGTGGGGAGAGAAGTGTTACCGCGGTAGGGCTCTTGGGCACCGCATGGGTGGTCCTGACTGAACGAGTATGTTAGCAGTGTTTTGAGACTGCGAAGTGTTTTGCAAGTGCTTACCGGCAGGCGCTCTGGCAGGTAGAGTCATTGCCGCAGTTGTCAACGCAGTTGTTTCCCCATTGCTGGCAGATGAAGAATGGCAGGGTCTGGGAGTATTCGGTAATGTTTGGGGAGATGCCGTTGTCGCAGACACAGTTGTAGGTCAAGTTGTCAGAATCGCAGTCATTTGACTCTGTGCTCATGGAGTTGACGCCAGGCTGCTGGAGGCAGATGAGAGGGCATTGTGCCGTGTTCTGAGAGCACCAGTAGTCTGGAAACGTGTAAGTTGACGGCCGAGGCAAACCCACGGCAGAAGCCAGAATAGCACATACCTCTGGTGGACTGGGGAACGGTGTCTGGGTCGATTGTGTAAGGGTAGTTCATCTGTGGAGTTGTCTGAGCAGCAGTGAAGCCAGTCAAGGCGGCAATGCCGAGAGCGAAGACGGAACGCATGACGGGGATTATGGGAATGGCGGTGGGTGGTGATGTGTTTAGTAGAATATGTGTGGTGTGTAAAGCTCAGCGGTGGCGGGAACAAGTGACTGGTGAGGGAATTACAACAAGTTATATACGGTCAGCGACAGATAGTGAACGAGTCAATGCAAGGGGCACGGATGGTCAAGCAGCGAAGGTGAAGGCGGACGAGGAGGCTGGATGGCACGGCATGTGTGGCATAATATATAGCGTGAGGGATGGCATCGGCAGCAGGCAATAAGCTAGTCGACGACGCGATAGGAAAGCTCACGATAGGGACCGTGCGGGTGTCTCCCCGCCGGCCAGTGCTGAGGGGCGGGGCGATGATTCGAGCATCCGCGGCGACATGTGCATCTGCGGCTAGAAAGAAGATGCTGCGGGCTGTGGGGAGACATTGCGGCGAGCGGGATTTGCCCAAATGGCTGCGAGCAGGCGACTAGGGGGAGACTGGGCGACCAGGGGGGGTGAGCTTGGGAGGTTGGCGCCACCAGCCTAGCATCTGTCCGGCTTAGTCACGCTCGCCCTCGTCGTCTGTCCAGCATCCAGGGTCCTCGCACGCATCCGAGCGCGACCTGCCCATCCCCCATTATGCATCCGTTCGGCGGGCCATGGACATCGCCATTGTCAATCAACACACGCTAGCCCGCTACTTAGGCCGCTGCACTGCTGTGTTGATGTTGTTGCTGCTGCTATTGCTGCTGCTGCCGCGCTGCTGAGCAACCACCGCCCGGAAACACGCCCAACCCCTCCAACCCCCAAACCCCCCAAACCCCCCTCTGGATACTCGACAGCATACCCGTCAGCCCTCCCAGCCACAAGTGCATGGAGCCGGCCAAGTCTGAGACTCGAGAGCCGTCGCCGCCGTCGCCAGACGGCAGCAGTGTGGCCGTAGTGCCACCCTACTGGCAGCAGCACCAGCGCAGTGCCAGCTATCGCAGCACTTGCTCTGCAGACAACAACCGCCCCGCACCCATCGGCCTCGAGGACCACACTCATGACGGCTCAGACCATTGCAAGGCGCTGTGGGCGAAAGGCGTCACCATAGACGATTACGTCGTCGTAAGTGGCACTGCACCGGCCATCGGCGCATACGTTGTCTGGAACTGTACCGTTCAGACGCTCGATGTGAGTTTGCCTCCAACAGCCATGCGCTAGCCTGCCGCGCCCTTGCTGTCCAGCCAATCGCCGGCCTGGCCTCCCATGCCACACCATCCACACCAGGTTGCGCATGCACAAGGGCCCGCGGTGGAGCAACGAGATGCATCTTGCTAACTATCTTTTTCGTCCAGGGAGGCCCCATGAAGATACGCAAGAGGTAGGTGTCGTTGTCATGTTTCCTTTGCCGTGTGCCTCGTGCACCACCTACCACGCATTCCAGTCAGAGGACTGTATTGACAGGTATTGCCAGATATTCCGAGTTTGAGGAGCTGCACACAAAGCTGCTGCAGACATTCCCCCATGCCGCAGGCTCGCTGCCGCAGCTGCCCCCCAAGTCGGTCATCTGTAGGTTGCACCACCTCACCCCACCCCACCCCACTCCGATAGTGCCGTTGACTGACCTGCTGGGCGTAGCTCGCTTTAGGCCCCGTTTTCTGGAAAAGCGGAAACAAGGGCTGTCGTACTTTCTAAAGTTTGTGCTGTATCGATAACCATCAGCTAGCGCATGTTCGCTGACTTTTTTTTTTAGCTGCGTCCTACTCAATCCGGAATTTGCTGGCGCACCAGTGCTCAAGGACTTTTTGTTCCCGTGATGTCATTTTCCGTATACCAGTATTGCTTTTGTCCCTTTATTCTGCCCACGGTAGGGCCTGGGCCGCGCACATCAAGGGTGTTAGGTGCGACATTGTTGGCCCTCTTCTGTGCGCTACCACTAGTGCCAAGGCCTCGAGGTTTCTGTTTCATCTTTTTGTCTCGCGCAGCTGCGTCACTTGTACATACAGACACACAGACATACGTATACATACACACTTGCAACCATCCTTGGAAGCCGATGGCCGTTCAAACAAGAGTCGTCGAGAAAGGTGCAGTTGCTGACCGTGTGCCGGCCCCAGACGATGGCCAAGTGATTGGCCGGGCAGCCTCGGTGGCGCTGACAGTCGCCCAAGCATGTCCGGGTTGCTGTGCTGCAATTCGCTACGTGTGCCGCGAAGATGCTGGAGCAATATGAAAACGTGACGAGTGTGTTATGAAGCTTAATCCGACGTCTGCTCGCCGGGGCGAAGAGTTGGTCGTGTGTGCAGCAGCCGTGGGAAGCGGTACAGGTGCAGCAAGCTCGCCTGCCAAAACAGCGCGGACGAGCTCTGCGAATCGACGACCCCCTAACGGCTCGCGTTTTGCATGAACCCAGCACGGCGCGACTCTCAATGGCAAGCTCGACAATGGGATTCTGAAAAATGTCCCAGCCAGTCGCGAATGATCTTCAGCTTGCTCAACATGGCCAACGCCGTTCGGCCTCTGCTGCGAGGCTCGAATGACCGGCAGACCAGACTCAACTTCTTGCCCGTGTCGCGCGATGACGCCCTCGCCCACGCCCACGCACACTCCCACGCACACGTCCAGTGCAACACCACGCCCACCGCCACCGTCGCGACACGCCGGGCTTCGCGCTCCGGGCCCCTGATTGTGCTTGCAGACGACGACAAACCCGTCCTCCAGACCTCGCCCGACACGCCCGCCGCCCGCACCACGAGCAGAAAGCGGCCTGCCACAGAGGTCGACTCAGACCAGCCCGACTCACGACCGCCCACCAAGATCACCGTCACACAGCCCCACGACGACCACCTGCCTATTCCCAACCGTGTTTCCGTGCCCCTGCGCCTCGACGCTGCCCATGTCCCTTCGCCAGCATCGACGCCGCGACCAGTCAGTGCTGGCAAGCTGACTGCCTCGACCCCAGCCGTCCCCGCCCCTGCCTCGACGGCCTCCTCGACCGACAAGAGGAGCCTGCGGAGCCACGACGGCGGATCGCGCCTCAAGAGCCATCTAGCCATCTACTTTTACAACTACGACGACATCATCGCAGGCGTCTCCAAGGATGATGGTAAAGCTTGCCGTCCCCGTGTCGCTATGCGTGCTGGCTGACGTCGCATACAGAATTCCTTGCTCTCGACACACCCATATACATTGTCGACGAACCCGTCAAGAGCAACACCCCTGCACCCACCACACCACAGCCCTCGCGCAACTCAGTGAGTCCAGCGCGCTCAATAAGAGGAAAACCCGGCTCGCCTGTTTCGCCTTCGCATCATAGCTCAGATGCGGCTATACCCCCGGCGCAATCCTCCACATCTTTCCAGGTCCTCAACTATGCCACCATAGCCAATGCAATCCACCACGAGGATGGCCAAGACCCCCTTGCCGACTCGGTCTACTTTACCCAGCACCGGCGCGCGGAGCGCAAGGAGAAGCAACTGCGCAACATTGAAAAAGAGCGCGCTATGCACGAAAAGGTGCAACTGGAGCGTCTACTCGACGGTCTACAGGGCCCAGACTGGCTCAAAGTCATGGGCATAACAGGTGTCACAGATGGCGAGAGGAAGGATTGGGAGGCCAAGCGTAACTACTTTATCAGAGAAGTAGAAGCGCTAGTCGACAAGTTCCGCGTGTGGAAAGAAGAAGAGAAACGACTACGCGCCGACAAGGAAGCCGCCCTAGCCGCAAAAGAAGAAGACGACGAAGCAGACGGCGACGACACGGAAGAATCCGACGGTTCAGTTGCAAACCCACGAGACGTACTTCCCCCACGACACCAACCCAAGGAGCCAGAGCCCCCCAAACCCAGACGGCCGCCTCGTCCCCACGGCTTCCTCCTTCCCCTCGTCCCACCCGAGCCTGCAGCACCCTTCCAGTCCTTTTACGCCAAACCCCATCTCCGCGCTGCAGCGCTGGGCAAGCACCGCCACGGCCGCAACGCCAGCGCTTTTGGCCAGCCCATTCCCGAGTTTGCCGAAAAGGAATTCGAACTGCCCGATGACTTTATCGATCCCCAGTTCTTACGCGACAATGCTAGACAGAGGCGAAGAAGAAAGCGTGAGAGTGGGGTTGGCGGTGCGAATGCGACTTCTGCGTTGAATGCATAGTTAACTCCTTTTCTCTTTATTTCTTTCTCTCTCTTTTTTCCCTTTGGAGATTCTGACTGGGAATCCCGTGGAATTGTCGAGATTCTTTCGTTTGCAATTCTTCTTCTCTGTTATACCCTTTATATGAACTTCACACATAACTGCGAGCACGATGTATCCACTTTCTGTGCGAAGTCAAAATCAGGGCGTAAATTTCCATATTGGGGGGGGGTAGGCGTTGTTCTTGGGAGGTGTCGTCGTTTTTTTCTCTCTCTTCTTCTGTCATTTAATATGCATGTATCGGGTTTCGGGTTAAGCAAAGGGAAGGAAGGGGAGGGATTTCCGCTTTCTCTCAGGCAAATGCGTCATCATCGTTGTGTATAGATAGGAGTTGGTATGTAGTGGGCTTTGTTGCCTAGCAAATCAATCAATGAAAGCAAGTAACAAGTATGTGCATTTGGCATGGGTTGGGAGATGGCGGGTTTGATTGTGTGATTTGATTTTTTTTTTTGAATACGTGACTATGGCGACGGATGGAAGCTGACGGTGCAACTTGAACTCATCCCGGTGTTTGCTTCATAATATCCACCTCAATTATCTACAAGCAAAAGAGAAGGAAGAAAATAGTCAACTCATCCAGCACATGAGAAAGAAGTCTGATGTAAATCGTGGCCAGAAAAGAAGGAAGACAGCCACCCACATACACCAGGTTTTTAGGACCAGCGCCGAGCAATGCCGCGCCTAGATGCTTGTCCTCCCTTTTCCGTAAACGCCAAAAAAAAACAATTGCCTTCAGGTAACGCATCACAAATATTACAATGCAATTCAAACGCTTGCCTCTGTACTGCCGTCATCAAGATCATCAGCGTGCGCTCCACCCACTTCGTCATCGCTGTCGTCGTCTTCCTCTTCTTCATCTTGATCAGAAGTGCTGTCGTCTTCGTCATCACCTTCTTCATCTTCCTCGTCATCCTCGTCGTCGTCATCCTCCTCCTCTTCATCTTCGTCATCTTCGTCCTTTTCCACAGGCATACCAGGAACCGGTCGCCATTGCACGTAATCATGCTCAACCCATCGTTTACTGCGTGGCAGAACATACGGATCAAATGGAAAGTACGCATCCATCAAAAACGCTTCCTCGCCCTTCTTGCCCGTCAGGGCCGTCTCTCGCCCACCTATACCAGTGAGATAGCTGCTAGCAAGACTGCGGGCAAGTCTTACACGCTTGTTCGTTTCCACCAGTGTATCGACGTAAGTGAAGCGGAGGTGTTTGGCAATGCGGCCAAACTGCTTGACAATGTCTGGTGCGCATATCTTGAGCGGATTGAGCTTGCAGAAAATGTTGCGGCGTACAATTTCGAGGGTCGAACGATGCCATTCAAAGTCGCCCTCGTGATACATAATGTCGGCGTCAGTGGGTAGTGAGCCGTCGGACGTAACAATGAGGTCTCGCCATCGGAAGCAAAAGGCGTAAAGCAGTGCTTGCGCAATGGCATAGTATGTGCCGTAGCGCCGTAGGTCAGGTCCTGTACATTTTGGCTCGTGCAGCATACGCAAACGCTCGAGCTGCGAGCACAAAAGGTCAAAGACGTTGCGCACAACAAACCCAGGAACATGTGCGCCGCGGGCAATGTACGAGGCAAGGTAGGCGCATGCTGATGCTCGGAGTAGTGGAGGCCGGTTTGAGTCAATGGCCAGATGTGAACAGGTATCGACGAAACGCTCCATGAAATCCGTCGACAGTTGACTAAAGTGGAAGATGATGAACTGGGTATGCCGCGATCGATATGTTGGAATGATGATGGACTGGAACTGTGCAATGAGAGACTGGTAGGTGCGGTCCATCTCCAAAAGGTCACCCTTCTCGAAGATGGAGTCGTAGTACGCAAACTGAACGTCCATGACGATATCAAGCTTAAGCATGGTGTCCTTGATGTCCTTGAGTCGCTGCTCTTCTGGCTCGAGACTTTCGTGACTCGAGACAGAGCCATCGTCACTCATGTCGTCGTCATCTTCTTCGTTGTGGATGGCGTCGCCCACAAGTCGCTCCTCTAGATCGTCGTCTATGTCTTCCATGTCCATCTGCATCTGCGCGTCGATCTTGCATAGCTTGTCTGTCACTAGCGTGAGGACCTCGCCTCGGATCTCTGGGGCGTATTCGGTGACTTGGTAGATGTTCCGGATGTACTCAGCGTGCTTCTTAGCACTCTCATTGGAAAAGGGAAATGTGCTGGCAATAATGGGGGCCAGGTAGGAGCTGACCATGGGAGTGTATCGAAGTATCAAGACCAGAGTCTCGTGGACGCGTGCCAGGAGGCGAACTCGCTGGATTGGGGGGTCGTCGTGTTGCCTAGCGTTTACTGACGGCAGGTCGAGGAACATGTCGACAAGCATCTGCAGCACAGTCGATACGTAGCCAGACTGTACTGAGAGCAAGGAGCGCAGGAAATTGCGATAGGAGCGCACAAAGTCTTCATTGCGGGCGACCCAACTGCAGTCGATGACGGCATGGACTAGGCCTTTACAGTTGTGGTCAAGCTGCGGCGTGTGGCCAGTGAGGGCAACGAGGTACTTTTGGAGAAGTTGCGACGATGGCGCGTTGGCTGAGGTGGGTGCTTCCCTGAAGAGGGCTCGGAGTCCATCGTATGCTGCCTTATCGCCTGTGGCGTGCTTCTCCATGGCCCGACGCACCTCCTCCCCCACCAGCTCTGCGCTCTTTTCATTGTACTCTCTCAGTACGTGCACATCGACTTCGGGGTGGAAGGTGACTCTGCGCTTTTTCAGCTGGTCTGGGGCCGTGTTCTCGGCGTCGGACGAGTGGTCGGATTGTTTGCGTTTGAGGCTGCCACCCGTGCCTGGGGTGACGACGAGCGGCGAGCGGGGATTCGAGGCAAGTGAGACCATGGCGACTACAAAGCGACTGGCAAAAGCTTTCACATTGGAGCAGAAGACAGTGTATCCAGCGCGTGTATACTTGGCGTGTGCTGGCAAAAAAAGTACAGCGAGGGGCGGGGGTGGTGGTGATTGCACGCGACTGCGGTTAGGCCCGAGAGAATTTCAGCGGGTCGATTGATTATATAAGCCCAGACTGGGCGCATCCACCATGGTTCACTGAGCCACTAATACATGATGATGGTGTCGTCTTATCAATGCAGACAATTACATTTCACCGCACTGGGCGATGGCAATGTCCTGCACGGGCTTCCCCTCTGGGTTTGCGAGGGTCCGCGTATTCTCAATCTTGGTTACTACATCCATGCCCTCTACCACATTGCCGAATACTACGTGCTTTCCATTCAGATGAGGAGTACCGTTCTTAGCGGTGATGATGAAGAACTGACAGCCATTGGTATTGGGCCCGCTGTTCTGTGCATTGTTAGAGCTACGTGGTTTCAGATGATGCACACAGACAACTTACTGCCATTGACAGCAGACCGGGCTTGTCGTGCTGTAGGGTAAAGTTCTCATCGGCAAATTTCTCTGTGCCGTAAATGGTCCTTGAGCCTGTACCGTTGCCATTGATAAAGTCTCCGCCTTGGATCATGAAGCCTTTGATCTAGTGCTGTTAGTAATGCAGCCAGCCAGCAAGCAAGCACAGATGCAAACAGGTATGCAAGCGCGCAAAGCGAAACATACGACACGATGAAACTTGCAGCCCTTGTAGCCCTGGGGCTGTCCGCGATTGTTCTTGGTTTCGCCAGTGCAGAACTGGCGAAAATTCTCGGCAGTCTTTGGAACGATATTTTTGAACAGCTCCATCTTGATTCTGCCCAGCTTCTCGCCTGGGTGCTTATGTCAGTCATTTTGCTGCGAGCGTGGGGTGCATGCAGCTGGACAAGGGCGAGGCGGGCAAACTGGTGGAGGCATACCTCCTAGGGTGATATCGAAGAATACGACTGGATTAGGCTCGGTAGTGTCTGCCATGGTTGTGGCGGTGCAATTGGCGGGAGCAAAGAAGAGAGTTGGGTGTGCAAATGTAGTAGGTATAGTGCAGCGCAGTGCAGTACCGACGCAGCTAGCGCTAGATAAGCTCGTGCAGGGCCTGGTGGAGGCGATTGTCGCCGCCTCTAGCGCTGGGGGAGACTCCACCCGCGACAGCTCCAGCAGGGATGTCGGCCTGGATACGCAATCATCAGACGGGCGTGCAAAGGCGCCGCTCGACAGACGAGCGTGCGGCGATCCATGGCTACGTAGCAGATCCGTGTTATTAAGGAGAGGATGTGCCTGGCGTGCATGTCGGTGTCAGCCATGTGCTGGATTGGAAATGGCACCTGCATGCGACATTAACGCAGGGTTTGGGGGGCGCAGTGCCTGGAGGGCGATACCGCGATATGGCGCATGTGCATTGACGAACCACGGCAATACGCAGCGCATGACAGGCGCCGACTGCTGGCGAGCTGGCCATTGTTGCATCCAAGGGAATGTTTGCATGGAGGAGAAGAGAAGAAGACACAAACGCCCACCGCGCCGACGCCCTTTGTCTTCGCATTCGGGCAGACGATTCAGGCAGGCGTGAGGGTTACGAGTACAGTGCCGGGAGTGGTTGTGCCCGGCATCCTTGGCACCTGCCCTCTGCATTAGCGACGTCTCTTGCGGCCTTTATCCGCCCGCCATAAGCCTTGCCTTCCCCCAGTGCCACGCCCGACCGACGATCCCATTCACGGCCATTTCATTCTCTGCCCGCCCTCAGCCCCAGCCCCAACCTCTACACCTCGCCAAACATCACCCACCGCCTGCGCCCTCTGCATCGCATGGCCGCCCCCGTTCTGTTCCCCATTCACCGCTAGCCACTGTGGCATCCCGCAGTCACTGTCACAGCTTCAGTTGCGCCGCCTCGCTGTAGCCGCCTCTGTCGCCACTTCTCGCCCTTGCTGCTGCCGTCACCACCGCCCGCTCTCTCCACCTTTCTCTCCCCGCAACATCGCATCCCCGGCCCCACTGCATCGCCTGGAGAAAAACGCGACTCTGTCCTGTTCCAACACTCGCATCCACTGAAGTGCCTTTCCAATCTGGCTGACCACCACAACTCGGCATCTGCGCGGCCATATCCACGCCCACTCATGAAACACTAAATCTCTTCGCATTTCACAATGTCAACCACTGCCGTCTTCCCCACGCAGCCCAGCCCGACCAGGCCGTCCAATAATGACGATAACGGAAACAATGGCGGAGGTAGTCCCACCAGTTCGCCGCTGCTGTTCTTTGTCGCCCTCGGTTTCGGTGTCGTTTTTACAAACCTATGGTAGGTCCCGCCCACTGACGGCATTCGCCTCCGCTTATCTGACATGTCCACCAGGATCATCGTAGGCGTCAAGTACTGCTTCCGCTACAATCGTCGACGCGCAGCCCAAACTGCTGCCAGTACAGAGATTGATATGGCCAACATGCCTCGCCCCCACCGAAGGAGGAGGGAAAAGAAACTAATGACCATGGATGAAGTCAATGAACGCTTTCCACTGACCAAGTACAAGCAATGGAAATCGAGCCGTGAAACCGAGGGGCTGCCATCCAACGGCGGCATTGCAACAGCACCCCAGAGCAGAGCGGCGAGCATCAAAGATGTCGAAGTTGCCACTACTTCCCAGGACGAGGGACCAGGGCCTCGAACAGAGACCGCGCTTTCCATGGCCCGCAACGATCATGCTGCGCAAAACTCAACCTCGCAGCAAACGGCGTCTCCAAGATCGAGCGTTGAAAGCACAAAAGGCGAGAAGATCCATGATGCTGAGAAGCAGATTGAAAAGGACAGTCCGGTCCCAGTGAAACCAAAAGAGAACCCAGAACATGGCGTTCCACCGCAAGCGACTGTACACGAGCGTGACGATGACTCGGATGATGATCACGATGACCCAATCCGCACTGCGACTGCACCAGAATTACTCTCTGACCCTGGCGACACTTGCGCCATCTGTATAGATCTCCTAGAGGACGACGAAGATGTGAGAGGGCTAGCTTGCGGCCACGCCTTCCACGCTAGCTGTGTTGACCCATGGCTGACAAGTCGTCGCGCGTGCTGCCCGCTCTGCAAGGCTGACTACTACGTGCCTAAACCTCGCCCGGAAGGTGAAGCTGATCCTGCTACTGGCCGTCGTTCAGCTGCTGGTCCCAGATCACCACAACAGGCCGTTTGGACATCAGCCAACCCTTTCTCCCGCACTCAAATACTGATCATCAATGCCGACCCCAACCAACAACCTAGTCCCCAGCGATTAGGACGACTTGGACTGTCGAGCCGGCGTAGCCACCCGGTCTCAACGGAATCACGCCAAGGGACTGCTCAACCAGGACAGAGCTCTAGCTGGTTCTCACGCACCACGCCCAGTCAACCGCGTGCTCCCATGTTCTCGCGTTGGTTCACTCGTGATAGGAGCGGTTCCAACAATGTAAACACTCCCACAGCCACCCAGCAGCCTACCCCAGGTCAGCTTGAAGCCGGCAATCGGTAGTTGTCATTGACACGCCTTGTAACAAGGGCTCTGTTTTCGGACCCCAATTTTTCACGTCTCTTTACGAATACGCCCATACCCCCTCTGGATCTTTTTGTGCGCCATCGTTTACCCTCGCACCATCTACGAGTCTTGAATTTCCTCGACTCTAATGTGTTTCCCCTTCTGCTCCTCCAATGCAGGCATGTTCACTCCTCTGATCCCAGCCACCGAGCACACGAGAGCATGTTCCCTGGGCCGTTTATTTAGTTTACTGCATAGTAGGTTTCTAAGGTTATATTGGGAACACAGCATCTCGGCGACTTCGGTTTGTTTTTGTTTTTCTCGTTTTTATGTCTTGGCTTTGGGGTGTGGGGGCAAGCAGATAAGGATGTGACGAGAGAGAGCAGGCTTGCGGCTATAATGTTATTGTACATGAGCCATTGGATCGATGTAGTATATATACATACACACATACAAACACCCACGCCCACATACGTAAGGAGGGGGAACTGCCAGCGAACAAAGTGGAGGACCAGTGTTTTTTTCATTTGGATCTTACATCCCCTGTCTAGTGTACCTTAGTAGCCTAAAAGGCATATGATCAATTTCCAAGCGTTTTGAGCCAACTCAAATCATGTACATGTTGATGCATTACTCGTATGTTTGTACGTGTGTTTCCAAATATGCCCATTGGTATCACAGAGTGCGAATCTGAACGAGGGCGAAAAGCGGAGAAGCAACCCATTTGCAACCACCAAAAGCCCAGAAAGCCAAAAGACACCGGGTCTGACACGGCTCCTTAGTTCTCCAAACGCCCATAGTCAATAGTCAATAGTTCATTCCTTCAAGAACCAAGCACGCCATTACACCCCCCTTAGCCTCACCGTGTTGTTCCTCGTCTCCTCATCCTCTTCTTCCTCCCCGGGGTCCCCTACATCCTGCAACCGCATGGCCAGCAGCAGATCCCTACCTGCCCTAGTGCCGTCCCTTAGTTCCATGGCGCTCTTGAGCAGCATGTCCTGCATCACCCGCGCATCCACATTCACGCCCAGCAAGGCTTCGACGTCTGGACCCCTTGGAATCGGGAAGTCGACAAGCGGCTTGCCGTTCGGTCCTACGCTGACCGTTGTGCTCTTCCGGTAATTGCTCTGTTGCTGTTGCTGGTTGTCGTGGTCAAACTCTGACGAGGAAGAGTACGGGTTATAGGTATCGTCCGTGTCCAAGTCCAGCGCATATGTAGTCGATGTCAACGATGTCGACGTCGAGTCGTTTCTGCGAGCTGGCTGGAGCCCAACACTGCCATAGCTTCGCTGTTGCGGTGGTACGAGGTTTAGCCGCTCAAACGCATCCCAGAGCTCGTCGACGTCCTCTTCTTCCAATGAAGTGTCCGTTGTTACGCTCATAGGGGGAGATTGATCATCGCTGCTCACACCATATGCCATATTGTGCGACCAACCATCCCAGATGACTTGCTGTGAGCGCTGGTTACTCCGATGATATTGCCCCCCTCCAAAGTTGTTGGATCCTTGCTTAGACGGCGCATGCACCTGGCTTGCTGAGCTTACACCCCGTAGGTGCAGGGCTGTGTGATGCAAATCTTGGTTCGTTGGCTGGCCTTGTTCATCATACTGCTGAGGTGTCAACAGACCTGGCACTGCGTGATTAGGCTCAGATTGCGATTTTGTATGGAACGATGCGCGGTGATTGTTTTGGGAGAGCTGGACCTGGTCTTCAAGGTTGAAAGGATTGTCGTTGATACGCTCTGCTCCTGCCGTGTTTGTCTCAGAACCCGACGTAGACGGACGGTAGTTTTGCACCATAGCCATATCCAGGTCGATCATGGATGAACGAAGTGGTGATCCAGGCACAGAGCTAATCATCTCAGGATAATCATCTATAGGCGCCAGCGCAGTGGTTTGTGCGTGTCGCAGGCTAGGACGGAAGTTGGAGTTAAAGGGCGGCGATGAAGGATCTGCTCTGTTGGATCTGCCGTACTGTGGCTCTTGCGGACTGCCCAGATCAAATGTCCATTCTTCAGTTTTACGTTTGTCATCCATCTTAGGGAATGTCCAGTCCTGAGTTTTACGATTGTCGTCCATCTTAGGAAATGTCCATTCCTTTGTTTCTCGTCGGCGGGATATGCGATTTGACGCACGGTTCCTAGGAGCCTCGTTATTGGCTTCTGCCATTGCTGCGTCAAACGTCCATTCCACTGTACGTCGATTTGGTTTTTGGGGCTGAGCTGGAAATGACCATTCCATCGTCTTACGGTTGGGTTGCTCGGTGGGAAATGACCACTCCATTGTCTTCCGGTTCGGCTGTTCAGAGGGGAAGGACCATTCCATTGTCTTTCGGTTCGGATCTTCATTCATGCTTGGGAATGTCCAGTCTTTTGTTGCTCGCTTTGTCAGTTCGTCTTCTTCGTTAAAGGCGTCTCGAAGTTCTTCTTCTTCCAACTCTCGCAGAAGACTCTTCATGCGATTTGCTCGAATGGTTGGTACTTCTCCCAGATCAATACTCGGTACCTCATCTGCTGATGGCATGGAAAAGTCCAAGTCAATAACAGTCTCACGGTTGGGTGCCCCGGGATTGAAATCGCGCAAAATCAGATCTGAAGGTGGCCGGCCGTTGGAAGGATCTGGCGCATCAATTGCGCTGTACCGATATGGTGTCGTGTTTGTGTCAAAAAGCTTATTCAAGCGTTTCTGGCCCCTCACAATAGACTCTTCCTTGAACCTCGCCTGCAATTGTTCGAAACGACCCAGGGGCTGTCCTGATCCGGTGGCAAATGGGTCCGTGAAATGCGTGGCATGCTCTTGTTCAAACTCTTCGGAAGTACTGAAAGACCAGTCATCGTCATCATCATCCTCAGCCTCCGGGGCCAAGGGATCAGGTGCCTGCGCGCCATACGGATTGAACAATGACTGACGAGTTCCACCCTGCTGCTCCCAGATGTAATACTCTTCAACCAATTTGATGAGTGATACAGTCGGATACATCTTGGTAGTATCAGCAAGGTAAGTGTGCTCCAGAATCTGGTCGGGCGTAGGACGATCTCGCGGCTCAGGCTTGAAGACGAAAGCAAGGAAATCTTTTAGCTCTTGAGAGAAACGGTCTCCTTCAAGCTGAGGGACTCCAGCCGTTGCCAGATCAAAGTGTCCGATCTTGTGATGTGGCGGGAAGCCGCAAGCCATCTCGTATACAGTACAGCCATATGCCCAGATGTCAACTTCGCTACCGTAAGAAATCTCCCTTGGCTGGAGCAAGCTATGTGGGTCGGCATCCTTTACCCACTCTCTTTGAAGTTCAGGGGCCATCCAGAAAGGTGTGCCGACAATGGTCGACCGCTTTGATCTTTCAGGCTCTAACGTGTTGGAGACACCGAAATCACATAATTGTACTCGGCCGTCCTCGAGAATAAGAACATTGTTAGCTACGATTTGGTCAGCGCATGCCGTATACTCCTATGATGGTATACTCACACTTTAGATCTCGATGCAACACACCCGCTTCGTGTATATACTTGAGGCCTTGTGCTAGCTCGCGGGCGATAGGTATGATGAATTTCTCTGCCAGTCCAGGGCCTGGATCCTTGCTCATGGCAGTGGGCTTCATCAAGGTATTCACACTACCACCACTGGCGTATTCGCTTATGATCCACAACTCGTTATGAACAGGTCTTGCTTCCTCGATGATGTTTACATAGGGTCTTGCTTTACTATCTCTCAGCTGCTGCAGAATGTCAATCTCTTTCAGGGTGTCTTGAAGATTCTTGTGTGTCATCTCCTCGTAGTCGACCTTGTCAATTTCGATAATCTTGATGGCAACCAGGGCACCAGTGTTGCGGCTCTTTCTTGGCAATGTTAGCGCACGTTCCTGGTGTCACATTGAGATACCCACCCTTTGTACACACGACCGTATGCACCCTTGCCGATAAGCTCGTAGAAGTCATATGGCGGAGGCTCTTCGCCACTCCGTTTTGCCCTCTCGGCAACCAGTGCCTCCATATCCCTGGCTTGTTGCATAGCGCGTCCCTTGGTACCACCCATGTTGGGCGGTTGCAGTCTTACAGGTTCCATTCCTCCTGAATATCTGTATGATTGGTCTTGTTCCACAATCCCAGTTGCGCAGCTTTCGTAAGGCTCGAAAGGCGATTCCGCTATGCACTCCAATGGACTTTCTACTAATGTGCTTGTCGTACTCTCAAAGCTGGTGGTAATGGGCAGCGGTGGAGGCAGATAGCCGGTCGACGTCACACGTCTACAAGGAGAATTATAACTGGTGGGGTCTGAGGCAGAATGCGAATGCCTTGATGAGGGAATGAAGTAAGAGGGTCTGGAAGTACCCGGATTCGACTGCGCGGCAGGTCTATTTGGTATTAGGGTGTATGGCTTCGGTGTGGGTGGACACAATGGACTTCTGACATCCAATATGGGGCCAGATATCTCGCGTCTGTCAATCGAAGGTGTGCGAGAAGAGCGCGAGGAGCGTGAAGAACGTGAGGAGCGGAAAGATGAGTCCCTTCGGCCTTTGATTGAGTCTGTTAGCTTTTGCCATGAGAAGGAGCGATCTGATTGAGTCTTTGGAGTTGGCGTCTGCTTTCCCAGCGACCTGGGCGGGGTGACCTCGCCCACCGGAATGAGGTGGTCCCCATCGCTGACCGACCGCTTGAGCTTGACGACGGCTTCGCGGTCCAGCATGGTTGCGTGGGTTGAGACTGGCGCGTTGGTTGCGGCATAAGAGAAATCACACTCACGAGTTTGTTATGATGCTTGAAGGTCACTACCAGAAGTGAATGCCGTTCATGGCAGGCAGGCCGCGTGCGGTGAGGGTGAGTGTTCGTTTAGGATTCACACCTCCGCACTGCGGGGCGTGGCTGGGCTAAACAACGAGATAATATTACAACAAGAGGAAGCAGAGGGAACGAAGATAGACACGCGAAAGTTGCGAAACGAACAAGTGCTTTTGTGCAGAAGAATGCGATGGCGACGCCATCTGTCAGGTGTGCGACCCCGAGTGTTGAACATTCGAAACAAGGATCCAGGGTCTCGACTACTACTGACCACGCTAAAGCAACCTTAAATCCATCTGGGGCAAGCGCACCCCCACCTCCCCGTCCCTGACATCATCTGCGCCACATGTGCGCCGCCATCTAGAGCTGATCTGCCAACTTTCCATGCTCTTATGGATAGGCACAACATGCTCTCTAACTATCTCCTGTTCTATCGACCATTCCATCTAGCACCCGACTGATTCCACGAGACTTCATCACATCAAGACGACTACAAGAAACTGCGAGCCGATCCCAACATGGTCTCTCAACCCGTTGGTACAAAGAAGACGCCCGTTACGTCTACGGCGAAGAAGACACCTGTAAAGAGTTCGGCAAAGAAGGTGCCTGTCAAGGCCCCGGCTGTTCAGCCACCCAAGAAGCCCATCAACACAGCCCTGCAGAAGAAACCAGTGGCCACAACCCAAAAGAAGCCAGTACCTACCACGGCACTCAAAAAAACCACAACAGCAGTCGGACAAAAGAAGCCAGTCCCAGCCCCAGCAAAGAAACCGATTGGGCAGCCCCAGCAGCAAGGCTGGCTCAGCAAGGGCCTCAGCGCTGCACAATCCGGAATTGGCAATGCAGTCGGCGCAGCCACCACTGGTATCAGCAACGCTGCTGGCGCCGTTGTAACGGCTGCAGGCAGTGGTGTTGCTGGAGCAGGCAGGGGAGCAGGGGCAAGGTAATCTTACCATAGCTTACAATACCAAATATTTGGCTAATCACATGTAGCATCACAAATACATCCCGTACCTGGGGCGATATGGTCCGTGAGTACGGCAACTCACTCAAGGACATGACCGGTGCCACAGGCAGTCGCTCAACTACGCACAAGAACCCTCTTGGTTTGAGTACAAGTGGGGCGGGGGGTATGGCGTCCATGGCGAGTAGGCCTGGTGTGCCTGGTCTTTCTGGAGGCTCGGCTAGGACTGGTACAGCTAGTAACCCACTGGGCTTGTAGAGCTAGAGAGTGCTTTCTTTTGAATTCAGAGCTTTTCACTGAGGGGAAGTGCGTCAGCAAGGCTCGGATACAGTATTATTTTGTAGTTTACGGTTAGGTTGTATTTTAGAAAGGTAGTACATAAAATAGTTCGTTTCAAATAAAAGCAAGGTTCATGTGTCACAGTAAGTTATATTTGGAGTGAAAAACCAGTGATTCGATTTCACTCGGGATACAATGTAGGATTTATCGTTCACTACAGAGAAGAGGGTGATGCACCTATATTTCCAGAATCAATTGACATAATTGTTTTATACCACCTTGAAGATGTCTATTTGCAACTCTCCTATAATCGACATATCCACAAGAGACCACGCTACTTAATCAGCACCAACAAAACAGCATCAACGCGCACGCCTGGAAATAACTGAAGTAGTATTTTAATTCGCGCTAGCAGCTAGCCAAACACCAAGAGGTATCACTTAATCGTCCAATAAACCTTCCAAACAAATGTGCACGACCTCCCCTGTGTCCCTCCCAACGTCGTGAGCGTAAACTCTAAAAGAAAAAGTGCAATATACATAGCCTTGTGTATTTTCTCTCAATGGCATTCAAGACATTAAACAAACAAGGGGAAAGGAAACATGAAAGCTGTAACGGTGAACCCAAGAAGAAAAAAAGAGCCTCGCTCCATTGGAGTGCTACAAGTGTGTGACGAGAGACACCGACCGGCCGAACAGAAACAGAAACGCCTGTGAGAAAATAAGAGAAAACAAACACACTACCGGATGACAAAGAAAACAACAAGACACGACATGCAACGACGTTCCCACCTCCATCATTTCGTGCCTTGGCATTTTTTGCCCCTTTTGGCCAGCCCCGCTAGTTAATGCTTGAACAGAGAAAGAAGGAGAAGAGAGAGAGAGAAAATATACACATATACGCAAGTGTATAACGAAGGAGATGACGCCGCCCAATGAGACTTTGGTACAAAGACCGAAGAAGATTTTACTAACACAGATGATTCGGAACAATTGGTGAAATGCACGTCGTATTTTCTTCACCTCCCAAATAGGCCGCTGCCAACGCTGATTGTACCAAGGCCATTACGCTGGGTCATTGGCGCTCGTGCTGCGTCTGGTCGAGCTGGACCGGCCTGACCGGGCGCAGCACCGGGCGCTGAGTTCATTGGCCGCATACCATTACCACCCCAGCGTTGACCAGTGTGCTCGTGGGGTAGATCTATGTGCTGTGCCACGGGGCTTGACATCATACCATATGTCTCCCGGCTCAAGACACCCATATTGCCGCGGGGATCAGAGCCAGGCACTTCCCCGTATGCTGAGTGGCCGGAGGGTGCGCGCTTCATATGCAGAACCGGTGATTCAGCATCGCCCAGGAGACCATTGGTGTGGTGGGCGTTGGACGAAGGAGGATTGGAGTTTGCTTCGATTGTGGAAGCAGAGCCGTTTGGAGCGCTCAGGTCAACCATGCGACGTTGGCCAGCTGGGGTCTGATAGTTGGGTACGCGAGACGGTCCAAGAGGGTAGCGGCTCTCTTGTTGATGTGAGGGATGCCGCGGGTTGGCCCATGGTGTGCTTTCCAAGAATTGTTCTTCTGCGGCTGCTTCGTCTGCTGTTGTAGTTCTGTTGTAGGTGCGAAATGATGGGGGCGGAGCCGGAGCACGAGTCGCAATCTGCAGCGTCGAATCAGCTACAAGTTCTCCACCAGTTGCATTCGGCCACTCACCTTCATTGCTCGAAGATCTTCATCGATTTCCGACGGTTTCGCAGCACTAATGTCTGGAGCGGCTGGGAAGCCAACGTACTTGGCAACGCCTGACAGTACTGATACCTCGAGATTGTACGCTGTCTGGTGCCTTATTTGGTCTGACCGCTTCTCTGGCAGTCGCACCATGTATTCAGTCTCGTCACAGCCAAGTTGTCGTCTGCCGCGCTGCAATTCGAACACTCGCTGGTTGCACTCTTCGAGTATTTCTTCTCGTATATGTCGCACAGTCTGGAAGTACTGGCTGTGCATCTGATGCCGTTCTGCTGCTGTTATTATCTCGAGGTTCTTCTGCTTGTATTCCAACAGCCTTGTCTCGTAGGCGATCTTATCTGCGCGCCGGTCATCTATGCATTTGATCATTGCGGCGTACTCAGGGTGCACACAATTGGGTTGCTTGAGCATCTCGAGCTCCCGCTCGAGTTGTGCTATTTGTTCGTCACAAAGTCTGATTGCAGTCAATATCAATTCCATCTGACCAAGAGCTCAGAGAATCACTCACTTCTCTCTGAAGAGCTTGAATTTCTTTTCAATTTTTGCGAGTTCGTTAATGGCAATCTTCTTCTTAGTGACTTCCTCATCTAGGACTCCGCTGTCTTCTTCTTCGGGGTCGCATTCAGCCTCGCCGTCTTGTGGCTCAGCAGCCGCAAAAGGTTCAGTGCAGGCGTAACTAGGGTCCTCTGTCTTTCGTTTGCCTCTTCTGCCACCTTTCCGCGGTTTTGCGTGCTTTGCTACGGTTGCCATTTGATTGACGGTTTGTGCGGCGATGTTAGCTTGGCGTTCTTCAAGTTCCATTTCTTCGCGCGCAAGCACAGAGAGATTCTCTTCAGCATTGTCAAGCTCCTCATCCGCGTCCACACGGCCTTGTCTATTGGCTGCGGCGTCCGCTAGGCCATCAAGCGCCGAGCTTCTTGCAGGCTCGCTCCTCTTTCGCAATGGTTCCTCCTCATCTTGCTCGCCAACAGGGCTCCTTTCGGCGCTCGTTCTTTTTCGTTTCTTGCCCGCGTGTTCCAGGCTAGCAGCCTCTGTGGTCGCAATAAGCGACAGGGAATGTAGAGGGTTATCTGCTGTAGCTGCTGCATCAATGGGTGCCTCATCTGTGCCAGCAGAGGGTGTAGGAGGGGCAGACTCGTTGTCTTCTATGGTTTTAGAGTGCGCGAGTTTGCTAGGAGTTCGTGTGTAAGCCGGCTCGGATAGCAAGGATGTCTCAGGGACTGTTCGTGTCAGTTTTCGTGGAGTAGTGTCTAGGCGCTCTGTCTCGGCCTCCGAATCGTCTTCATCCATTTCTGCTGCTGGGGTCTGCCTCGGGGTGGGTTCAGATTGATCGTCTGAGGCGTCTCCAAGCTCACTCAAGCTGCTGGAGCCGTTATCTGCGGCGTCATCGAAGCCGTTCGAAGCTTGCTCAACAGGCATTGCCTCTGCAATGGCTGCACTTGAAGCTTTCATCGTTGACAGCATTGCGGCCGCGATGGCAGTAGGCTCCCCGGGGGCTGTTGACTCGTGTGAGGGGGAGGCAGTAGAGGGGTTAGATGATCCCGTCGGGAGCGGTGATAGGGCGTCTGCGGGAGCGAGTTAGATCGGGTGCATTTCGTGCGGTGGTGATATGAGGCGTGGTGGGAGAGGGAAGTTCGCGACTGTGTCGTCGCCTCGGTTGACGCAAAGATCGACAATCTCTCGAGCGACCCAAGGACACGACAGACTGCGCAGAGTCGGCGAGATGGACCCGGTGGGCTATCGGGTTCAAAATAAAAGGTTGTATGACGTACTCTCTGGCTGCGCGACTGACTTGCTAAGATCGGGAGCTGTTCTTGATGTGCTCCGCCTAGTGTGATGGGGCGCGCTCATAGTGCGCCTGCGCCAGAAGCCTCGTCAACTCGTGCCCAGTGTGGTGCGAGGATGTTGGATAGGACGCAGTTGGTGCCCACGATGCAGGAACGGCGCTATGGGGGGCAGCGGGCGGTGGACGTGGGGAGCAGCCAAAAACACTGCTGCCGCTGTGGAGGACGTGGGCGCCGATGATGAGGGTACGTGCCGAGATGTTTTTGGCGTCGGACCGGACAAAGGCGCGGTAGTGTGGGTGAGGACGTGTATGCAAACGCGAGACAGCGACTGGCATGAGTGTATTGGCGGTGAATGCAGTAGGGCAGCTCTATCGAGAGGGCGTAAACTGCGCTTTGAGGCGGGTCGACAGCCGGGAGAGGCCCTGAGTGTCTTGCGAATGACCGCACTCTCTTAGGCGGGCGGTAAGGTTCTGCCGCTTGCTCGCCCGCTTAAGGCTAGCGTGCTTTCGAGGTGAAGCGTCTCCACCAAAACTTTTTGACGAGCTTGCTGCACGGCAACGTCGCAATCGCCGCCATGGGAAAATCAAAGGAGAAGCGCGCTACAAAGCCCGAGTCGCTTAAGAAAATTGCAAAGTCTGCCAATTCCTTCATCAAAGTCAACAAGGCCGCGTTTGATCCCGCTCTAGCCTCGTTGTTTGCAAGCAGTGTGCGTTTACCATTACAAATGTCTACGCAAGCGCGTGATTGCTAATTGAAATATTCAGGCGGGACCAGTTCAGCCACCTCCAAAGTCTCGGTACCAGGCGCGCATACAGAAGCAAACGACCGAAGAGTCGAGCGAAGAGGAAGATGAGGACGATGCCAATGATGCAGAACTAAGTTCGGCATCTGGCAGTTTACCCTCGGATGATGACGAGGAAGAGGAGTATGAAGATGAGGACGAGGACGAGGTCATGTCAGATGCTAGTGACAACGAAAAGCCTGAGAGCGAGGCTATTCTAGCAAAAGTACGTGAGTCGGGGTTAGATGGGACACAGGATAAGCAGAAGAAGCGGAAACGAGGAAACAAGGAGGAGATCGAAGATGCTTACATGCGGAAGCTGGCGCAGGAAGAAGAGAAGGAAGAGCAGCAGAGGCAGAAAAAGCGCAAGACAAAGGAAGTTATTGACGAGGACGACAAGTCCTCTGACGACGCCGAAGATAACGATGTTGAAGATGACGACACTAAGGGAGACTCTGGTGAGGCCGAGAAGACCTTTACCATCCCCAAGCACGAATCACTCATGGAGGCAACCGACGGCAGCGCAGCAGAGGTGGAAAAGGCGGCCCGCACTGTCTTCCTTTCCAACGTGTCCACCGAGTGTATCAACTCCAAGTCGGCAGAAAAGACCCTGAAGAAGCATCTCGAGTCCTTCATTGCTGATCTCGCAGACAACAACCCCCCACACAAGATTGAATCAATACGTTTCCGCTCTACAGCTTTTGGCAGTTCGCTCCCTAAGCGTGCTGCTTTCGCAAAGAAGGACATTATGGATGCAACAACAAAAAGCACAAATGCTTACGCAGTCTATACGACAAAGGTGGCCGCAAGAGAAGCCGTCAAGCGACTCAATGG